CCCCATCACTCCCCACCCACTCCAGGTGTCCCCCATCACTCCCCACCTACTCCAAGTGTTCCTCCATCACTCCCCATCCACTCCAGGTGTCCCCCATCACTCTCCACCCATATTGTTTTGACCTGTACTTTTCCTCAAGTGTCTGGCTATAAAACTCTCCCGGAATAATTAGCAAGGCCTTGATATCCAGTGAACCAACTTGGGAAATGCTACTTAAGGATCCTTCTCACATGGTGTGAATTTTGACTTGTCTCTTATGAAGCCTACAGCTCTGTACCCAGCATACAGCTGTCCTCACTCCTCCCACCAGTACTGGCACTGGAATCCTAACTGTTGGGCACAGACAGACAATATGAGGATCTCTGGATGACTGCAAGGACAGACAACCTAGAAAAACATAGAAAAGTACACATAGTGAAAGGACAGAACTCTACTGCAGAACTTGTTCCCAAGTTCCTCAGGGTCATGGTCACAGCACATTATAGGGAAATGCCCCCTAAAAGGCCTTCTGCAACACAGGTAGGAGGGTGATAGAGTAACATTTTATAACTCCCAAATGGCACGATACATTACAGATCAGGTAACTGAGTCAGCCCAAGGTCACAGAGCAAGGGAAGAACACGAATAAGAAGGACAACATTCTGCCTGCCTTTGGTGACCTGTTTTCTACCCTGATCCCAGGCTTCCCAAGCTGAGAACCCTACAAAGGACAGCACGTACTTAAGAGTTTTCTATGGGCCATCCGTTGCCCAAGTGCTGCCAGATCTCTCAGAGACTAAAGACTTGTATATTACTGGTCTATCTGACCTAACAGTCTCAGTGAGCATTGCTTAAGACCCACTGGACCTAGGAGGGACCCCACAGTCTCCAGAATGGAGTGGAAAGTTAAAAGCTCAGGAGTATGGTACTGCACTTACTTCTGCGACATCAGCCAGAGATCTGGAAACAAAAGAGTCCCTCGAATTTCCATCCAACAAGCTAGGGCCAAGCAATGATGTGCCGCTGTTGGCCCCAACAGTAGTTGGTAGCATCTTTCTGCTCTTCTCTGGAGATATGAAGCTGGCTGCGGAAAGAAGGTGAGTCAGGTATGAGTATCCAGGTAGCCAGTTAGGGCCTCTAGGTCTCTACCTTCACACGTCTGTCAAGGGCTACCGAAGGCATTATGTTCTAACAGGCTTTGTCATCTGTGCTAGTGTACACTCATCTTCATCATTTCCGAGGGCTGCAGGTGCTGTGCTCCTCCTATATTGTATTCTCTGTGGCAGACCCTCACTGATAGGCATTAAGTTTGATTCTGACTTCACAGACTGCAGGTGATTTCTGCTCATGTTTGCACTGTTTCTTGTGACAGTAAAACCATGGGGGTGTGAGACTGGTTCCCTGAACTCTTCCACCAGGTACAGTACTATAATCAAGGATGATCAAATTGGAATTATCAGGGTAAAAACCTGGGTCCTGGCAACTGGGAAAGTGAAGCTTAGCCACTCATTCTCAATACCACCAAAGAAATGAGTGATAGTGAAAAAGCAGAGAACGGAGATCAATCAAGTCACTGTAGCACCACGGGGAAGATCAACAAAGTGAACGGGTTCAGTGACTCCATCCCCCAAGCTCATGTTCAGGGTACTGACAAGTTTGCTTTTAAATAGGGGACAGATGTCTGAATGATGACAATGAAGCATTCTTGGCCAATGTGTAGTCCATTACGACCCCACGGCTGCTTCCATTTGACTCGATTCTACAATTAGTAAGGTGTAAGAACAGGATGGAATCTCTTCCTTGGGGAGTAAAGACACATTCTATAATTCTCCATATGTGATCAAGAACACCACAAGTCAGCTGCAACATTCACTTCAGAGTATCTTACTTAATATATAAAGAAATTAGTAACAAAAGATGATCTGTTCTCTCTTTACAAGAGCTCTGTAAGAAGGGTTTGAGAAGGCTAAACAGACTGGAGAAGGCACTGAAAATCACACGAATGACTTGATGTTCTGTCTGTACCGGGCATTGGGCTCTCAGAGTCTACAAGCATTTTGACATCCAGTGAAATACGAACTGAAAATCTGTGCATTCTCCTATATGTAAATTACACTTTTCAGTTAACTCAGAACTAAATGTGCTGAGGTCTGGCCTAACTCAAACCTTGGAAAGAAGAGTCCTCCAGAAACACTCACCAAATAAGCTGCTGAGTGAGGAATCTGTAGAGTCACTGGGGTACCACTGGGGGTCATGAGTGGGAGAGGCAATCCAGTTGGGCTGGGGGCTGCTGGATGGGGAGGGAAGACTCTTGGAACTGTCACTGCCATTCAGTTTTGCTGGAGAAAGAGGAACTCCTTCACCTGTCAACCAAAAATCAAGGTCAGAGATGCTTCCCTGAACCTATAGCAAGGAAGCAGGAGGCAGAGGCTGTGTACTGCTGAAGCCAGGAGACAAAGGATGCACTGAGACTACACCAAAGGGATGGCAGCTGTCTACAAAAAAGGATCACAGAGCCTTCAGGGCAACTTTATGCTCTAAGAATGCAGAACACAGCAGGCAGAATCAGGCAGGCCCTGTGCCCACAGTACTATGCCAATAATCTTCATGGTGTTTGCACCAGTCCCATAGGAAACATGATGCTCCTGATTCTATCCTTTGGAGTATATATAGTTCATAGTCTACAACTGAGAAAAGCAAGGTTCAAACCAGTCAGGGACCTATCAAGCTCATGTGCTAAGAGGCTGTGACTTCATGTCTGCCTGAAGCATGTCTGAATCATGTCATCAGGCAAAATAGCTATGCCACTGCCACCAGAAACACCATCACAGAATGAGTGAGACCAGGCCCTTGGCAACTATCTGTACAGCTACTTCCTAAGCAGTATCTGAAACATGTAAGTCATCTTCCAGATGAACAACTAGAAAGCTGATCCCCAGGCTTCAGAGAGCCTTCAAAACTATCCCATTCTTACCTCAAGGTCAGGAACAACCCAACCAGACCACTAGTGGCATCAGTGACCAGTTACTCCTCCTGTCAGAGCCAGGCAGAGGCACCTTGTAGTGGCAGATAATGACAGTTACGCTGGAACTTTACCAGCAAGTTTGGAAAACACTGATCAGGTCTGCTTTTTCTAAGTATGGCTGTACCATCTAAGTAAGAACCTAGGAAAGGTTTCTAAGGTCATCTGTACTTACTGTACTGGCCAGAGCTGATGGCAATTTCAATGATGGAATCACTGATCTGTGTGGCAGGTTCTCCTTGTGAGAGAACATCCTCAGGTGGGCCAGGTAGGGATATGTCCAGCAGTGCTGAAACATTGGGTGGGGAGAGACGGGTGCTGGAGCTCTCTGGTGAGGGTAAAGGTATGGACAGGCCATTCTGGAGATTATTAGCCTTGGACAGCTCAGGTAAGGTCAGAACAGATGATCCCTGCTAGGAAACAAATATGATTCAGACACAAGGTACCTATCAACACTTGTAACAGTGAGTACAATGCCCACCTCTAGCTTGGCAGCTGCAAGAAATGCAGGGATCCACCATTCTCCCAAGAGAGGAGTACACTCATGAAATATACTTCATCAGAAGAAAGTTAAGCTAGGGTAGGGTGAACCTATTTCCATTGTCAGCATCTAGTGGAGAATACTGCTCCAAAAGCCACCAGCTGATTACCTCCTGCTCCTGAGCCCAGAAAACCCAGTCCTTTCAGACATGGGGTTTAACAAAGGAAGATGGAGAAGGGATGACATAATCTGTTTATCCATGAAGCAATAGCAAAACGTGAGTTAGGTGAAAGGACAACACTGCTGGAAAGCACGGTCCATGCACTAAAGGAGAGAGGGAGCTGAAGCCCTAGAATGTACATTACCTGGAAACCATCTGTCATTGGCTCCTGCTCTGGTCTTGTAATGCTGATAAACGGATCATTAGTGCCCTAGAAGAAGAAGACTGCTGAGTGGTCCACACTGAGCTAGAAAAACAGCCAAAGTACTTGTGTGGCTGTGCACCAAAGAAAAACTGTTCTCAATTTCCCTGGTGTTCCTACAAATAGGTGAAGAAATGGATTGTGCTGGAAATAATGGAAAACAATTCTCAGACTGTTGGCTCTGCACTTACAATCATTTGTTGATTTTTAAGAGGAAATGCCATAGCTCAGTAACCGGCTGACCACATAATCTCAGAGCTCCATGGGGTCTACCCAACACAGCCTCCACTTCAACAGGCAAAGAAATCAGAGCATCTGATTTGGAGATTCATGAAAAGAGTGGTCAAGACCATACGAACTGTTTTCCACAGAGATGTACCAAGCACTTAGTACCTCCTTAGTGGGGGCCCATGGGCTGATGGCAGCCTACTGGGTTGAAATTCAAATCTACACCCTCATGTATGTTTTAGCAATGGATTCTTTAGCATCACACAGCAAACATGTCTCTTCACCACCTCCCACTCTGTACTCCATGGAATGTGTTCAAACCTTAGTTTCTCTGATTCAGTGTTTCCTCTAACCATCAGGTCTCCAAAGGTGCAACAGGGTTCAGTATGACCCAGGCCTATGATCTCACTCCAGAAGCTACAGGTAACACCTAATAGCCCTTGTAAATGTTCTCACCCTTACAGCAGTAACAGGGTCTCTGTTCTGGTGTGGTCCAGTGTCACCCTGCCCCGAGATGGCAGTGGCTGCTTGTTCTGAAGACAGTGGAGAGATGCCAGATGAGCCATCAGTATCTAAAACTGGCAAGGGACTTCCAGGGATGATGCCAGCACTTTGAGCTGCTAAGTCGATGGCACCTAGCAACAGGAGTTATATATCAAACCTCTGTTCCATAACACTCCACTCCATGATGTGAGACAGCTTCTCCCTCACACCTCTCTTCAGTGAAGAGCCAAGGAATTTGATATACTCTTAGCAAAGCAGTAAGACATTATGCCTTGGAGAAGAAGAGAATATTACAAAGATGTATGTCAAAAAAAAGCAACTAAGGAACCTCACATAGTGGGTGTCACTGTGCACATTACACACTTACTGGGCAGGTGACTGGTGGCCTGAGATGGGAGGACCTTCGGCACTATCGGTCGAGACAGAGCTGCTTTGGTCAGAGAAGACTGGATGGGCCGGAACCAGCCTCTCCCTGTGAGAGGAAGACAAATGCAGCCTTATCAACTGGTTTGTCCATGTCCTACTGTGCACAATGAGCTATGGAAGGTTTTCTTCACAGACATAGCTAGGATCATAGCAAGCCACTCAACACACCAGACACTTGCTAACTTGGGGACTGAGAGATCAAATTATACAGGCTCCCTGCAAAGAAAAGATCTAGGGACAGTTCTTAGGACTCACATGATGGTTCACAACCACCTGGTGACTTCAGCTTTAGGGAATCCAACATGCTCTTCTGGCCTCCATACATAAGACAAGCACATGCTGCACAGACATACATGTAGGCAAAACATCCATCCAAACATAAACTAAACACAACTAAAGAATAAAAGCAACAAGTCATGAAGGGACTAGAGATGGCTCAGTGGTTAGGAATACTTGCTGCTCTTGCAAAAGACCCAGGTTTGTTTCCTAGCACCCATTTAGTGACTGATAACTACCTCTAACTGCAGATCTGACACCTCCTCTGGGCTTCATGGGTTTTTGGTGTCCATATAGGTACTTACACTTACATATAAAAAAATAAGGTAAACCTTTAAAAAAAAAAAAAGATTCCTAAGGGCTGAAGACACAGGTCAGCAGCACAGCAGTGCTCTGCTGCCTACATCTCTGGGTTTGATCCCCAGAAGCATGAGTAAAAAAAAAAGATTAGACTAATCAAGATATATCAACAAGCATGTGTACTCACTGAAGAACACTTTGAGACTTGCTTCAAAGCACCCTGACACCCACTACATTTACAGATGTAAATAAAACAACGTGATCATATGCTCCAAAACCAGTTATTTCCTAAGTGCCTATTGTGGCTCTACAGGCAGAAAGTAAAAACACGCCACTGAACTGAAGTCAGTGGTGCTGCCAACAAAGACAACAGAACACACGTCTAAAGAAGGCACACTCCAGCCAGTGGCAGAGTCTTGCTCATAATGGCAGCTAGATGCAGCACAGGGGGCACAGTATATAATTAAACATATGCTGGAAGAACAAACAGAGGTATGCTAGAAATGTCACACACACACAGCCATGGAAACCCACAGTGAGGCACATTCAGGTAATACTCCGAGAAGCTATTCCAGGGAGGAGGGGTGCCTGGCCTTACCAGCTATAGGAGAGTTAGACAGGATGGAGAAGGAGCACACATTGTGGGACTGGTTTTCAGAAGGTCTAGGGAGCAGTGTCCTCTGTGAGAAAAAAAATGCAAATAGTAAAGATGATAAGAAGACTTCACTGTGAGTCAGGCGGTGGTGGCGCAACACTTTAATCCCAGCACTCAGGAGGGAGAGCCAGGTAAATCTCTGTGAGTTTGAGGCTAGCCTGCTCTATAGAGCTAGGTCTAGGACAGCCAAGGAAGACTACACACACACACACACACACACACACACACCAGAAAGACACACCAGTATATAAATAAATAAATAGACTAAAATAAATAAATAAATAAATAAATAAATAAATAAATAAATAAATAAGAAAGACACTAGAATGCTAGGAATAAGACCTTTCCCAAGGAAAACTACAGAAATATCAGGAGGATCTAGTTCAAACCTAGAATGTTCCAGATTTGGCTGGACACAGGCAACTGAATACAGACATCTGTTTACAACCACAGAGTAGGCTGATGGGGCTCAATGCTGAGCATTTTAGTGGTCAGGATGGAGAAAGCTAAGGGACTGCTTGTAACAAGAGGCACTGGGAGACAAGAAACGATCATTTCCAGTCTCTTTCCTGCACATGAATAAAGGGTCAAGATGTACTTAAGTACCTATTCAACTGAGAAGAACCTGCACTGACCACTAACATTGCTAACAGTGAAACACTGACATGGATCTGTCAACTGTAATGGATCAGCACACAACTGAGTCCGACAGAATTGATATTCTGTTCCTATATAAAGGACTCAGGGTACCTTGAGACATTTTCTCATGCATGATCTTCCCAGGATGTTGGCAAACACTGGAGAACAGAAAGAGCTATTGCTGGAGATGAAAGTGCACTCACTTCACTAAACTCTGCATTTTCGGGCTCACCACACTTCATTCTGAAGGCTGAGACAGTGCTCAGTAAGTTTTTCCATAAAGGGAATGCTTTGAGACCATTTTAGCTCTGGATCTTGTGGTAGAAAAGCAGCGTAGACAGTATAGACATAAAGACCATAGCTCTATGTCAATAAAACTTTACTCATTAAATAAAGATATTAAGTAAGACCACATACTGTACAATCCCATTTGAGGAAATAGAATAGGCAAGTCCATAAAAATAGTAGGTGGACTTGTAGTTGTTGGGACCAGGGCTTCTTTTGGGTGATGAGAGTATTCTATGAAAAGATCATGAGCTGCTAATACCTCATACCTATACTAAAGTCTGTTCAATCATATACTTCAAATGAGTGAGCTTTACCATAATATATATATTTACGCACATATATGGATATTTAACATAACACTAGCATACACATGCACACACACTATGGATATTTTAGAGACAGGCTTGGGTTGGGGAGATGGTTCAGGGAGTAAGCACTTTCTATGTATACAAGACAGGAACTGAGATCTCCCAGTACCCACATGCACTTCAGGTGGGCATATCGACCCACCTTTAACTCCAGATTGCAGGAAGCATAGACAGGAGAGCCCCTGAGCAAGCTAGATAGCTAGACTAGCTGTCTTGGGAGGTCTGAGTTTAATGAGAAGCACTGCCTCCATTTTTAAGGTGGAGAACACTAAGGAAGACATCTGATATCAACCCCTGGGCTCCACACTCATGTAAGTGCCACCACACATATATTCATCCACAAAACAATACAGACTGGGTTTAGACTATAGGGTTTGGTTTAATATTCAGATGCTGAATTCAGCAACCCTAGAGCCTGTATCAAGTCAGAAACATTTCCGTCTTCCAAGACAAAGGATGAGAGATAGCAAAGTTGTGAATTGAGAATTAAGGATATGCGAACAAAAATGAAAAGGTTTAGAATGCATACTTTCTAAGACCACCCACGCAATGCTCCTTTGTTTTATAGCATGGTCTCACTCTGCAGCCATTATGCTCAGCACCTACTTACGAATAATCTAATCTCAAGGTAAATATTTTTTTTAATTTTAAAATTATGCTTACTTATTTAGTGTGTCGACACACCATGATGTGAGTATAGACGTTAAAGAACAACTTTTACAAGCTGGACTTTTCCTCCTAGCATGTGGGTCCTGGGGATAGAACTGAGGTTGTTAAGACTTGGGTCAACTATTTTTCTCTACTGAGCTCCCTCACTGGACCTAGAGAAAAAGGTTTCTAATAGACTGAGAAAAGGAAATTGGTCTATCCGTGTCTTCCAAAACTTACCCACATTCACAAATCCCTATGGCTGTATTACTACAGCTCACCTCCCTTACATCTGCAGACACTGCTGTCTTCTTTCCTGGGTGCCATGTACACCCTATGTCTGCCATGGCTTGCAGATGGGTTCTCCTACTACCACTTACTGCAGTTCTAAAACCCCTTGCTTCTGTCAGCCCAGACTCTAAAATCATTGTCTAAGCCCACGCTCTAACAGATCTGGGAGAATCCAAGCTGGGACACTCTTAGGAACCAAACCACATGTCTGTAAATAATTTTCATTGCTAACCAAAATCTATTTTTATTTATATGGGTACCTTTAAATTTTCTACTCTTAGTTTTATTTTTTCATACTAATAAGAAAGGGCAGGAATTTCCTCTATATCACTCTGAAAATCAAAGACATGTAAGTATCTCTTGGCCAGTTCAGCACCTAGAGTATAGACCTGACAAACACAATGCAGCCACATAGACTCAAACAATGTTCCCTTACCTGGACCACCAGTGGCTTTCGTAAATGCCGTTTCCGTAGTTTCTTGGGCTTCGGTGAGAAAAAGTCTGACTGTATCTATGAGAGAAGGGACATGAGCCCAGGAAACAGAGACTCTATCTGCAAAGCATACCATAACCACCCACCTGGCACTCCCAGCACTCACACTGATGGAGTCCAAGTGCTGCCTAAAAGTCAGCTCTGCCTCCTTACTGGGAGAGAAGAGCTTTCCATGTCGACTATTTGGTGGCAAAGTCGTTGGGACAGCAAAGAGGCCACCATCTGAGTCACTGCTTCTGGTGCTGGAGGGACCGGCCACCAAGAGAGGCCTTGGGGTATTTTTCAGACCTGGAACAGGAAGGAGAATTATGTGCAGACACTCACCTGTATCCCGTCCTGGGCAAAGGCAGCCCCACGAGGAAGCAAGCCAAGAAAGAAATCTCCAGACACCTTTTAGCTGCATATACCTTATCTCAGTAAAGTCTCTCTCGCTTTTCTTCCTTAGATCCTGGCCCCAGTTTACAGGGACTGCAGGCCTCCTGAGTAAAAGCCATCACCACTGTTCTATGTTCAGAGAGAAGGCAGGACAACTAATCAAGACTTCTGAGCTATAAGGACATTGGGGCATCCCTAGCTGACCAAAAGAAAGCAGACTCTCTGTAAAGGCTGGTTAGCAACACACTCAGTGACCATCATGTCTCCATAAGTAACTCAACTTCATGTGGTAGCAAGAAAGCTGCCACAAAAGTGCATCTGAAAGGGAGTGTGGCTATGTGCCTATACAGCTGTTTCTGTAGCACAGGGAATTACAAAAAGTGGGCTAGGCTGCATAATATTGACCCTGGTTAAAATTCCTTATTTTGTAGAAAACAGTCCCAGAAATAAAAGGACAGAAAATAATTATTTCACAATAACGTTGTTGAAATTCCACTGTGGTAGTGCTGCTAAAAAGCACCTTCAAGGTTCATGGCTTGGTATGTATGGACCACTCAGAGTTCACAGGCCAAGCTTGCCAGACATGGTACAAATGTCTGAAAGTCCAGGCCCCTGGTCCTATAATCCTCAATCAGACAGAAAATGTTAGGACATTAAAAATCTCACTAGAAGGTACAAGAGGTAGTACTGAGCTGCTACCTGGCCCACTTCAGGCAACAGACCTTGATCTGCAGGGATTTATGGCTTAGGTGCTTTGCCTGAGGCAGCCTCCTGAAGGTATAAGAAAGAGGAAACGAGCAACTGCTAAGATGTGTCTCCAGAACCACAGCCTCAAGTTCACACAGGTCTCTGGAAGGATTACTAGGCAAACAGTCTTTAGTGGAAAAGCTGCTCACAAAATATTAAGTCAGAGATATTGTAAAGCCATTAATGTTCTTGAGTGAATTACTGTTATCTTTGAGACTCCATTAAGGAGGTAAAACAAGACGGGCTCTGTAGACTTAAGCAAGCAAAAGTGATCCTAGGAAAGGATCATGCTTATTCTGTCTGGGATGGATGTGTTCAGTAGAGAATGGCATTTTCCTCGGGGCTGGGGTGATAGACAGCTCAGCAGTGAAGTGTCCGCCTAACACGTGGGATGGCCTGCTTTGCACCCTTAGTACCACAAAAAAGTTATTTCTCAGATGAAATTTAAGGATATACTAAGAAGCAAGTTACCTCATCTTTCTAGAACTGCACTAAACTGCCCGCACACACCTTAATTGAAGACTGCTTTAAAGAAAACCAAGTCAGTACAGACTAAAGAACTAATTCTCCTTAGTGGCTTTAAGCCACTAACTCAGTAATTTTCTTTCTTTCTTTCTTTCTTTCTTTCTTTCTTTCTTTCTTTCTTTTCTTTCTTTCTTTCTTTTTTTTTTTTTTTGGTTTTTTAAGATAAAATTTCTCTGTGTAAGCCTGGCTGTCCTGGAACTCACTCTGTAGACCAGGCCGGCCTCGAACTCAGAAATCCACCTGCCGCTGCCTCCCAAGTGCTAGGATTAAATGCTAGGATTAAAGGCGTGAGCCACCACTGCCCGGCTCTAATTCAGTATTTTATGAAGGTTTCTGACACAAAACTTCCAATGAGACCAGACCACCCTCTACTTATCAAATGAACTAGGTTCTTTACAAAAGTCCCCTGTGTTCATCATCCCCAACAGAGGTGATATTCGCCCTCCACTATGCCCAGTAGACCATGGGTGGTAGACAGCAGGGCCATGTGTTTAGTTCTGACAACAGTACTGGAGACATCAGGATACTCTTGAAGCATACCTGGGGAGCAAGGTCCAGAACCAGATGGGAAGGTCTTGCTGCTTCGGAGGGTAGACGGGTTTCGAGAACAGCGGGGACTCCGAGAGCTGATGGTCACTACCTTCCCTGGTGGGGTTGCGGACTGTTCTTCTTGGGTGGGCCTGACTGAAGCCGTTGATGATGTATTTGCTTCAAAAGCCTGGAAAGATGCCAGTCAAAAGTCACAAAGATTCAGCTCAAGAAAACGATTATGACACAAGTATCCTAAGGACATCCATTTCCATGATGGCAAAACTTTGGAATGCCCCAAAGTCACTTGCACACATCACACCCAACACACCTACATCATTGCTAGAAACTGAACTCTGGTCTTCTGAAAATAGCAAGCATCCTTAACTGATGGGCTATCTCTCCAGGCTTGAGTGGTGGTGTTCTTAATTGAAATAAGCGTTTCAGCCTGTACCCTTACCTGGTATGTATCTACTAAACAGCTTAGGCTGGCTTCAAACCTCTGGTGATTTGCCCACCTTAGCCTTCCAAGTATTAAGATCACAGACATTAGACACATCTGACAAACTCTAATTCTCCAGTGATGTTAAAATCACTAAGTGACATGTGGAATGCACAGTTTTAATCCCAGTACTCTGAGGAGAGGCACACAGATTCATGTGAGTTTGAGCCAACCAAATCTACAAAATGAGTTCCAAGCCAAACAGCCTGTGCTATGTGGTGAGGCAACTTAAAAAGAGAGAGAGAGAGAGAGAGAGAGAGAGAACCACGAGAAACTTCAAGAAATACAGGAAAAAAAAGAAAAAGAGAGGGGAAAGTAATAAATCCTCAGGGAGTGAGATAATAACTGAAGCAACTCATTCATGGCTTTCCTCAGGAGAGCTTAGCCTCCACTGACTGGGTGTGGTGGTAACAACAGACAAGCAGCTAGCTCTATGGCAGAGAGAGGGGACGGGGACCCATGGTCTGGAGTTATCGACTCTAAGCAGAGTTTTGATACAGGGAAGATGGATTGGAGAGTGACAAAGGCTTGTCTTTTTGAAAAGCCACGGAAAAAAGCTAGCCTGAGACAATCCTGCTAACTTCTACTTCTGTGAATCAGAAGGAAACAGAGTCACTCCTGAAAACTGGTCACAGTTGAAGAGCCTTTCACCTAGCTCCCAACGTCATGGGTGTCCAAAATCCTTTAAAGATGGCTTCAGGGGCCAAGATGGCTCAGCAGATAATGAACGGCATTTCATGAACAAGCCTGAGGATCTGAGTTTGATTCACTGAAACCATGTAAATAGCTGGATATGAGAGCACACATCTGTAATCCCACAACTCCTGCAATAAGACAGGAGGAGACAGAAGAGACCAGACGCTCACAGACCCACCAGCCTAGAAAAGAAGTGAAGTGTAGGACAAGGAAAAAGAAAAAAAAAATCCCTCAAAGTAGAGGGTGGGGGGAAGGGAAGAAAACTGACTTCCACATGTGCCATGGCATTTGAGTACCCACATTTTCACACACAAATTGACAGCAAAAAATAGATGGCTTCAAGTCCTTGGGCCTCAAAAAGGCATTCCACCTCTTTGTTGCTATTCCTATTCTGGGGGCCTTATCAACTTCAGTAAGACCTGACCAGATGCTCAATTCTCAGCTCTTCCAGAAGCACCCACACCCTGTCTTACTAGGGTTACTTCGAACATGCCCAGGTCCTCGCTACTGCCTCACCCGCTCTGCCCATGCATCCACTCCAAGTCCAATCCTGCCAACCTGTCCCTGTTCCCCGCATCTTCCTCCTGGCAATCTGGGTTCTAGGAACAGTAGTATTTCCACCTCAGACTGAGCACTTCACATGACTCTGGCCAGTAAGTCTCAGTACCCTTGGGCTACTTGCTTACCACAGTTCTACGAGGCAGGAAAAGTAGGGAAACAAAGGACAGAAGACCTGTCTCTGACCCAAAGTCTTCAATTTCAGCAGACCCCATTAAGTCACTAAAGGAACTTGGTTATCTACTGAAATCCAGCCACACTCCCATAACCCTTGCCTCCACAATATCTGCCTCTTTTTTTGTTTGTATTCCTCCTTCAGTCCTACCTTCCACTTTTTTTTTTTTTTTAAAGTCTAGACTGGTCTCAGATTAAGCGTTCCTTCCTGGGCCTCCAGAATAATGAAGTGGAGAGAGATGATGGCATGTGCCCCGCAAGAGCTCAGCGGTACTGAGGCCGCTGGCCTGGAGCCTACCTTGGGTGTCTCAGTAGTGCTTCTGGCTCATCATCTTCCACAAAATGGCGCCATACTGCTGCACTTACCTTTGAATTTGCTGTCCTATAGTTGAAACCAAGGCTAGAACCTCTCATTTCCCCACTGACTCAACGGTTTGCCCTGGCCTCTGAACACGAGACCATATCAAATCTCTCCACAAAAGGCCAAATATGAAAACTTGTCATCTGCCTCATCACAGCTTGCTAATTCCAATAACCTACTCAGGTTACCTCCACAGTGCTAAGGCTGAGGCCTCTTTCACCATCAGCTCTGGCATGGGATGTAAGGACCTGCAGCCCTGGTAATTATGTTACCTTTGGGGTCCTGAAGAGACAAACTTGACACTCAAACACAGGCTCATCCCAAACAGCTTAGTGTCCTAAGCTAGTCTAAACCACTCACCATCTTGGGGTGGACCTCAGTGGAGATGAGCCTCAGGAGGCAGTTCAGGAGGCGTTGCTGGTGGAGGGTTGAAGATGAGGAGCGGGATAGGGCAGTCTGGCCCTGTGCTGTGGATGCCTGGCTCTCGGGGCCCAGCACAGCCAGCCAATCATACTCCAGCTGCAGTTTGGTTGGCTTGCCCATCATGAGGTAGACTTCAGCCAGTGTGAGGCTCTCAGAGGTCTGCAAGCTCCAGCCTTCTTCACGTAGCTGCTGGGCCAGCTGGCTGGCAGGGACTTCCTTGGAAGGCCTGGTAGCAGGCTGTCCCTGAGACAACAGAGGTTCTGAGGGGCTGCCTTTCTCCTGGGACTCTTCAGGACATGCATTTACTAGCTCTTTAGTACAAATATCTGACTGAAGCCTGGTATCAGGTTGAGGATCGGTGCCAGGCTGAGGGTCCAGGCCAGGGGGAGCATTGTCAACAACCTCCCTGCTGCTGGGTATGAGGGCCTCTGGAGAAGCTACCCTGCCTAGAGGAGGGTGCTCTCTCCCAGATTGTGTGTCTGCACAGCGGCACTGCTCTGGGATGATGAGATCCTGGCAAGACTTCAGGTATCGGGGAAAGGGATCAAGGAGTGAGAGTTCATCTTCCAAGTCTGGGGGCTGGCCGCAGGAACACGGTAGAGCCCCAGATTCTTGAACAGGGCTGTCTCTGCCCACTGCGAGGGCTGTCACAGGAGTCTTCTCAAGCTGTGAGCCAGAGTCCTGGTGCCCATGAGGAGGCCTGTCAGGAGCATCCGGGCTGCTCAAACTTGGAGTTGCTCCCTCTCCAGGCGCACTCTCAGGAGAACTTTCCCCTGAACTCTGTGAAGCATCTGCCGTGGGAAGAAGTCGCCCCCCACCCTTGCCTTCACCACTGCTCCTCTGGCACTTCAGCTGGCCCCGGGCTATTCCCTGTCCACTCTGGATGCCCAGGATCTGAGCTGGAGGCAGTGAGTGCATGTCCTTGGTGCCCTGTTTGCACCGGCCACCCTCTTGCCAGTGTACAGTGCAGAAGGCCTTGGAGTGTACTACACGGGCTACACCCGGTAGTGGTGTCAACGTGCAGTTCTCGCCTGGGAACAAGTGCAATGCCACCTTCTCCTGGGTTTGCACCGTGCTTGAGCCCTGCAGCTGCCTCTCCTCAAGTGTCTTCCGCTGAGCACACTGTCAAGGAGCAACTCCAAACAACTACAACCAAAGTGTTCCTCAGTGAAGAGCTATGGACTTCAGATTAGGGTCTTCTTCCCTAGGAGCCACACCAACCCTTGATATTCCTGGAGCTATCCTAGGGACTTTCCTTAAGCTACTACTAAACCGTGCTGGCTGAGGCATTCAGTGTATTCAGGAAACTCACACCTGATGACAGAAACTATTCTAGGAAACATGCAGGGCCAATCAACAGCCAAGGACTCAAAGAAGGCTTCAATGTATGACATCATCCCACATCCCACATCTACTGATTCTTAGGTCACATCCCAGGGGCCAGAGATGTAAGCCACTCAAAACGTGGAGAAGCGAGTGAAACTGAGTATAATAGATGCAAGTAGTTCCAAGGCAGGACTTTCTACCTAAACCCAACCCTCTCATGGAGTTGGTCTCTCATGGAGCCCTACAGCAGTGAGAAGAAAACAAAACCTCATTCTCAAGCAGGAATAGCTGACAGGTTTGGAGGGTCTGCTCCATTTGAAAAAAGATACAATTCGTACTTCATGGAGTGCCCACTTCTGCTTCAGGAACTCAATGAGGCTAGAGACTTTTCGATGTAGCTCCACAATCATCCTATGAAATAAAAAAAAGGTTACAGAAGGCCACCCTTGGAAGAGTTCTAATGACTGCCTGTACCAAAACCACAAGACAGAGAAGCAGGCACTGGAAGGGGATCTACAGGGTCTTCAGCTCCTATTCCTAAATATACTTCCCATCTGTTGAAATCACTGTAGGTTCACATAAAGCTATAAATAACAGAGAGGTCTAAGAACGCTTTTCAGTCAAGTGCTCGGCTAGGATGTGAGCACTGAAAGCAACATCACTTCTTCTGTCAGTCTTCAAGGACAGAGGATGTAGCTACCCCTAACTAGCCCTAAGAAAATAAAATCCACACACAGAGGAGATGAAGCATGCTATAATGACACATGCTATAGTATAGATGATTACCACAACAGTAGGCCAATAAGAGATGCCGGCTAGACCAAATCCTTATGGTCTTTTAACATGAGACGTCCAGAAGACACTAGATAGAAAGCACTGAACAGAAAGCAGCTGGAGCAAAATGAGCACTGGAGAAAGTGATGGCCAACAGCATGTGGGATGATGACAACATGCTGGAAGTCAGCTGAGATAGAGGGTGTACAACACAGGCAGCATACTAAGACACTTAACTGCAAAAATGCAAATATACAGCTCATTCAATGTGATATGAATTTTACTTCAGCTTAACAAATGTAAATGGGAAATGGACCAAAAATATGGCAGGGCTTTATAAATTAACCCCAAATCTCCAGGGAGCTAGTGAGAAAGGAATGTAGGAGGAGCTTTATAGGAAAGATAAAGACTCTGCAGGCAATAACAATGGTCGTTTTAACCTGTCTGCTAGAATTATAATTTAGGATCTTAAGACCACCCTCCAACTCAGAGTATCCTCATGACAGTGTCACCTCCATACCCTGTCCTTATGTGAGGACAAAATCTGTTTCTCTAGAATTCCCCGAGAGAAACACAAACACCCAAACCTCATGCTATGCCTGGCATCAAGGCCATTCCTCATGCTAAATGTCACCTGAGACGTGGATTTTGGGCCAGACTCTGTACTCGTGCCCAGGCGTGGTTGTTCCGTGGTTGTAATTCTACAGGGACTTTCAGGGGTAGGCGCACTGGCTTCTGGTCTTCTTCATCACTCAGACCTGAGAAAAGGAGACTATGAAAGCCTGGTGCAGACCAACCTCAAGGTACAAAACAAAACACTTTGCCAGAAAAACATGGGGGAGTGAGAACTGGAAAATGAGACAGCCTTGACTCCGAAAAAAAGAGAACAGAGGAATCCTAGCAAGGGTCAAACTCAATATGGTGAACTGTGTACTTGTAAAGGCAGAACCATGGATTGGACATCAAGTGACCATGAGACCTTCACTCTTGACAGTATTAACCCATCTGCCAAAATGTTGCCATGGCTTCTTACTAGATACATGGATGCCACTTCAAGAACTGTCTATTCACAGGAGAAGGTTAAACAGAGTCAGTCACAAAGTACTACATGCTGCCCACCATGGGAAAAAGCAACCATGAAAAAGGTACAACATATGCTATCCCTTTCCCTGACACCTACCGTCTGGATCACAGAGTTTCTTTAGGGCCCGGCACATGGGTGCCTTGATCCGGAGATTTCTCCCTTTATAACGGACTGTGGTGGCTCTGGGAAAAGAAATTGCAAGCAATGCTGAGAACTTCATGTGAGTGGAAGAGATGAAGGGTTATCAGGTGTGGCAAGCACAAAAGCCTGGTGAGTACCGACCCCTATGCTGCCAATCATGGTAACCCCAGATGGCAAGGAGAGGCAGAACCTTTAGATGTCTGCTACTTTCCTAACCAAGAGACATGTGCTGTTTATGGGAAGTGAACTGTGCCCAAAGCACGGCGCCTGACTGTCGTAGACAACTAAGCTCTCTGCTGAGGACCTGCTCTGCTCAGCCCATCTCCAAGCGTTCCCCATCCTTGGAGCCTTGGAACAGAAGCTCCAGCGCCTCCTCTGTGTGTCGTCCAGATCGTCCCTGCTACCTACCTTCACAGGACTTCTTCCTGAGCTCTTTATGAGCAACCTGCCACAGCAGTGTAATCCCACCCTCCTGTAGTCCACATAGGACAAGGGTACAAGCAGTTACAGTAAGGTGTCACAGGCCCAAGCTCAAGACCTTAGGCCAGCTAAGGTCTGATTGCTGGAGCTGCTGGAGCTGCAGTAGATTAGTAATTATATATACCACAGAAATACTGTTTGACTATCTAAACAAAGGTGGAATGCTTTCAAAGCACTCAGAAAAGGTAGCTGGTTTTTAGACAGTGATTGAACAGGTGTGAACATGGCAGCCTCTGGGGCTCAACAGTCTGACTCATCAGTCCCACTGCTTTGATTCTGGAAAGAATAAATAATGCATTTTGGATCTGGGTTAAAGAAAAAGCTTTGGCCAGTCACCTGGGGGTGGGGGTTGCATGTAAATTTTATATGTTCAAGCTGTCTATCACTTTATGCCTCTCTACTTTAACCTACTTTTGTTGTTGTTTAAGACAGGGTCTCACTATGTAGACCAGGGTAACCTCAATTTCAAAGACATCTGCTAGCCTCTGCCTCCTGCTGGGATTAAAGGCATAGGCCACTAAGGCTAGTCTGAACACCCCCTTTTTTTTTAGACTGATCTACCATCAGCTGTGAGCATGTCAGTTATGAGAGCACCTTCTGTTCTTACTATTTAATTTCTACGGAGTATACGGGAAAGGTGATCAAAAATGACAGCATATACATGAGGTGATTCTAAAGATGTGGAAGGAATGATATACTCATACTAGTACAAATTCCTATTTGTATCTAAATGTTTATTCATGTAAATTTCCTAAGGTGGGAAGAAGTTTTAATTGAGAACAGGGTGATGATGGGTAGCTGGTGATTTTACATGTTCATACTATCTGAAAAAAATAGACTCTTTCAGAATGTATTTATACTACATCTAATTTAGTAATTTTAAAATGTTGTTCTAAAATAATGCTCCTTAAATCTGGACCTAGGAATCTGAACTATAGCTTTGAGCAGAATAAGCACAGGAAAGGCTGTGCTGATACAACAATGCTTGGTTAAAGAGTAACTCAAATGTATACATGCAAAATAGAAGACAACTGGCCTGAGGGCTAAAGTCAGGAGAGAAGAACCATACCGCACACCTAAGAACAAAGCTGTGCCCAATACCTGAAAAGAACTGTGCCTTGGATTTTTAGCATTGTGAGGTCTCAGAACCCTGCAGTTATGGCTTTCAGCAAGTGCTTATAAGACAACTCCAACAGTGAAGTGCCATGTGTGGTGGACACAATCATACAACACAGAGAGCTCAGTAACTCCTCTCATTACGGCAGACACACTCTATCTCCTGCACATGTACCTGCATCTCCTTTCCTACCCACCCATACACTAACCCATGCTGCTCACTCCTAAACGTGCCTACTGACTCATCTGCCAATCATTCCCCCATCTGCTACCTAGTGGCACATTCACGCACCATCCATACATCTGCCCACTCATTCATTCACCTATGTGCACATCTATCCATCACTCAGCCAGCCATTCTTCTATCCACTCATTTATCTGTTCAACTGTCCTCATGCACGCACGCATCTACTCAAGGACCAGCTACCTCTGCAAGCAATACATTAAAGTACAAAGCTAAGAATATTAAAAGCCTTATTAAAGGGGCAAGAAGAGCCCAGATTGGCTGCCACTCCTTATCCACTTTCCATCTGAAGGGAGTAAGGCTCTAAAGGAACCACACATTCTAGTAACTCAAAATTATTGAACTGCCTTACCACAGGTGAACAGTGATGAAGTGAACAGCGGGGAACCAGGAAGAATATTCTAAGGAGCAAATAATGAAGCATGGACGAGCCATTTTTTCAACAGCTTCCTCCAACAAAAAGCTCAAGGAAATGAGCTTTAAAAACAAAACAAAACACACACAGGTTTGCACACACACAGAGAAGTAGAAAGAACCTGACATAAAACAACAACAATAAAAACATGCTCAATGTCATTGATTATCAGAGAAGTGCAACTCAAAACGATTGCATACCAAGTCGGACATCACTGAAGTTCTTGAGAACATGGGAACACCTGGGCTAGGCTCTATAAGACAGTTTCTTGTAAAGACAGACACATGTCCATATCTCTTCTTAGGGGATGCCCAGGTAAAATGAAAACCAATGCTCAAAGCCAGGCAGTGGTGGTGCACGTCTTTAATCCTTGCACTTGGGAGGCAGAGGTTGGTGGAACCTGAGAGTCTCCTATGGACACTTCTCAAAGAGAGATGTCAACCTCAGAGGTTAGTGATGGCTCCCAATAGATGACTCACCAGAGAAAGGCATGTAGAATAGCACTATGGTGACCTACAGCTGGCCATGGGCTAGACGCAGAGCTGTGAATGGTAGAGGCCAATCTAAACAGGCTGGGTATGGGTTGACTCCAACCAGATAATGCTCAGAGGAAAGCAGTCCTATGAAATAGTAAAGGATTGAGGACTTCCAGAGACCAGGGAAGGAAGAAACAGACAGAGCAGATAGTAGATTTTCAGGACAAAGAAAGTACTTTGAATAAGACTGAAGTGGTAGGGAGGAAAATGTCCAACCTTGTAAATGCCTGACACCAGGGTCCTAAATTAAAACAGACAAATTATGACCAAGTATCAGCAGATACACCACAACTGTTGGACTTGGCATATGTTGTCTCAAACCCACGATCCTCCTGCCTCAGATTCCTGGAACTGCAACCTAAGGAACAGGCCACTGAGTTCAATTGTAACAATGCCGTTTTTGATGCACTAAGAATAGAACCCAGGGCAGGATCTTCCATCTTTTTACACAATTTTCTTATAAACCTAAAACCTGCTCTAAAAATTAAAATCAATGTAAAAGCTGTTACATTCAATAAAAAATATAAATCCCAGGACTGGAAAGATGGCTCAGCAGTTAAGAGTACTGGCTGCGCCGGGCAGTGGTGGCGCACGCCTTTAATCCCAGCACTTGGGAGGCAGAGGCAGGCGGATTTCTGAGTTCGAGGCCAGCCTGGTCTACAGAGTGAGTTCCAGGACAGCCAGGGCTATACAGAGAAACCCTGTCTCGAAAAACCAAAAAAAAAAAAAAAAAAAGAGTACTGGCTGCTCTTCCAAAGGACTTCAGTTCCCAGCACCCATACGGCAGTTCACAACTGTCTGTAACTCCAGTTCCAGAGGATTCAACAGCCTCAGACAGACATACATGCAGGCAAAACACCAATGCACGCAGAGTAAAAATAGTAAAAATTCAAAAATATATATAAAACCCAAGTTGTCAAACACATATAACTAAAGGCCAAAAAGTAAAAATATGTAAAATATTAAGTAAGAGGCTAGAAAGACAGCTCGGTGGTTAAGAGCATTTGTTCTTACAGAAGACCAGATTTGATTTCCAGAACCTATAATGTGGCTTACAACCATCTGTAACTCTAGTTCCAGGGAATCTAGTACCCTCTTCTGACCTCTGTGGGCACCAGGGTATACACATGCAAGTAGGTAGGCAAACATAATACATATCTTAAAACAAACAAACAAACAAACAAAAACAAAAAACAAACAAAAAAAAAAACAGTTAATCCCAGCACTTGGGAGGCAGAGGCAGGCGGATTTCTGAGTTCGAGGCCAGCCTGGTCTACAGAGTGAGTTCCAGGACAGCCAGGACTACACAGAGAAACCCTGTCTTGAAAAAACCAGGGAAATAAAAACAAAAAACAAAAACAAACAAACAAAAAACAAAAGCACAAATAAAGCCTACATATTATCACCCTAGGAAGCTGTCTCTGTATGTTCAAGGTAGGAACCCTTCCTGTTACCTACCCATAATTATCACTTCAATGTAACGTTCTACAGATACACACATGAACACAGGCACACACTCATGGGCACAGAAAAAGGGTTGTTAAGTGATATAGACCTGTCCCTCTGGTGCAATGCCACAGCAGCCTCCACTCACGGAAGCACATACTCACATAGTATCAGGTGAGATGCTACAGCTAGAGGGCCAGGTGAGGTGCCTATCAAGTTAAAAGTGGAAGATGCCCACCAGTTTCCCCACTGGTACTCTGAAGTTTCTCAGGGTCTTACCTCTCCTTGCTACAAGCTGCAACCCAGGCTGACATGCACACTCACTCCATTGACACCCAGAAGCCCTATAACTAACTATCTACTCCATCAATTCCAGGTAGGTGGCAGGGCCAAGGAAATCTCATCAATAGTGACCTTGCTTTAAAAAAAAAAAAAAATCGACAATTGGAGTGGTTATCTAGCCAGCAAAGCAGCCACACAGGATCCAAGAATACACTTAGGCTCCAGTGCCATCACCATTTCCCATTTGATTCTCAAAGAACCAGGGGAGCATGTATAAGCAGCACCAAATCCTGTGTCTGACTCAGAGTATTTCAATAGTGGTACACCCATCCACCTGTTGTCCATGAATATTAGGAAATCTCAAACTAAGATATATGCAAGTCCGAGGGAAGATCTGTCTCTGCCAGATCAAATCACACTGATCCTATCCCTCAAAGGACACATCTCACCTACTGATAAGGCTATAACCATAGTGATCACTTCAGCCCATGAACAAAAAAAGGTCCTGACAGACAACTGCTCAGCTTTGTTAAAAAAAAAGTAAGTGCAAAAGGAAACGAAGGCTGGACTCTGAGTCTCAAATGGGGACACAAAGCAAGTTAATACTACCTATTAAGGCCCCAACAAACACAGCTGGTACTTCACTTTCTGGTGGCCTCTGACTATATCTGAGACAAGCTATATCCAGGAACATTACTGGTATTTAAGGCCACCCAGCAGTCTTGGCATATCACAATGCTCTTCCACAGTGATTCAGTCTGATCAGGCCTGGGTTTTTTCAAAAATAAAGGCTTATAAATATAGTCCCAGGAAGAACACAGGAAGAGTTCACCTAGCTGAAGCCTAGGTGCTCACTCCAACATATATAAAGTCATCTAAATGTCAAAGTTCAGACCTGTGGGAGAGAAGCAAGAGAACAGAACTAGGGACTTAGGGAAGCTATATCTCAAAAGATATGTCCACAGTCGCTAGAAGGGTCTGAATGACAAAGCAGACCAAATGTTCAAGGGTCAGGGAATGGCCTGGAGGACTGAGGGTAAGAAAAGAGACAGGACAGAGCAGCTTTCAACAAAGGCCCCAAACCACAAAAAAAAAAATAAAAAACAAAAAACAAACGAAAATCCCTCCACAAAATGCCTCATGGGCAGTGGCATAAATGGGTCTTGCAATGTAGCAGAGATGTATCAACACAAGCATCAGTGGCAGTGTGACTCCCCGAGACAGAGAGTAGCCATGATGAGACAGAGGATGGAGTTATGACTAAGCATTCAACCTTTAGCAAAGTGAAGATGCAGAGTAAGACACTCAGCAAGACTGGAACTTCCAGGCAGTGAAGTTTATACCCAAGGTATGGGCAAGAAAGCTGATCTCTACCAGGAAATGCGATAGAAGCCTTTGGAGCCACAAGAAAAGTACAGAGGAAGGTATGTTTTGGGGCAGCCAAGAGGGCACCACAAGAGGGGAACTGGAGAGAAGCTCAGGGTAACAACATTTCACTGACCTGTATACCAATTCCAGAGACAGGCAGAACACAAGAGGACTCATGAGGATTAAAGTGCTAACTATTCCATCCAAGCCTGCGGATGCACAGTGGCAGTCCATGAAGAAAATCTAAAGACAAGCCAGGATGCAATCTCCACACTCAATCCCGATGCAGATAGTTGTCTTTGGAACAGAAAAGGTCAAAAACAGTTGGCTAAAAAGACCTAGGAGTCAGGGTCAGGTTAAGTGTTAAAAGATAAGAAAAGCCATCTGCAGCAGCTCAGGAGCCAACACACTGAAGCACTAAATCGAGAGAAAGAGAGCCCTGGACCATCTGTGCACAGGCAAGGGCATCTGTGGGAACAAAGCCACATGCCTAAGAGGAAAGTGAGATGTCTTAATTCTTTGGAGGGTTGGCTAGAGGCTGAGCAGATGAAACACCTGCCTCATGCCCTTATCAGTCTTTACAGTGTCACCAACCAAGGGTCACCTCAAAGAAACCACAACTGAAGAATTGCTCAGATCAGACTGGTCAGTGGCTTTATTTGTGAGTCATTGTCTTCACTGATGACTGAAGTGGGAGGACCCAGCCCACTGGGTTCACAATCATTGCTTAGCAGGTGGGTTTGGGCTGTATAAAAGAAGCAGCTGAGCGAAAACTAGTGAGCAAGCCAGGAAGCAGCATTCCTCCATGGTTTCTGCTTGAGGTTCAGCCCTGACTTACGGTGTAAGCCAAATCAACCCTTTCCTCCCCTAAATAATTTTTGGTCATATTGTCTTTTGGAACGACAAAAAGCAAATTAGATCACTGCACAGCCTGATGATCTGAGCTCCATCTGGAAACACCTCAGTACACATGACTGCTCAAAGTTTTCCTTTGACCTCCACAAAAGAACCACAACTTCCATACCAGCTCTCACACACAAGCTCAAGAATAAAAGAAAATGAAGGAAACCAGCACACATCTCAACTTCTGTAGGTCAGTGGATGTATACAAATATAGTAATTTGTACTTACCCAGCCTGAATGAGTTCATTCAACTTTGTTGCATTCTTGTCATCCATACCTTTAAAAGTATAGGAAAATAAATGAGGCCATGGGGTAGTTAGAAGCAAACAATCACAAATTCCCATATTATTTGCTTCCACACAGACTCCAGATCTTGCTAATTAATGGTCTACATCTTAATGAATCTGTATCTGGAGTATAGTTGACCAGAACCTTGCCTGACCCACACAGCCTCTTCCTAACCATTTCTTACAGGTCTAATACGGTCTGTGCTCAGGTAAGTCTTTTTCCAGGAATTGTCCCTGACCTTCTGGTACTGCTGAACCATGGCTCAGCTCCCATAGTGCTTGGTCCCAATAACTGCTTCCTCCAGGTATCTCACTGGGTTCTGAACCCTCTTTCCCTGCTGATTGTAGACTCTCAGGTACATAGTTTGAAACACAGGGCTTGGTGGCATATGCTTTAATCTCAGTACTCAGGAGGCAGAGACAGGAAGATCACTGAGTTTGAGGCCAGCATGGTCCTCAAATCAAATTCCAGGATACCCAAGAAACCCTGTCTCAAAAAACCAAAAAGAATGAAAACAAAATGAAGCTGTCAGATGAACAGTAAGTAAAAGGATTTGATGCAGGTACAACTGCACCACAAAAAGTAAAGGAAACCCTCACACTGAAGGGAAGGGCCCAGGTGGGATCAGACCTTCAGAAAACCAGGAAGAACACTAGAAAGGGCAAACGTAGACAGGGCATGCAAGAGCAGACACATCATGGCCCTTATATGGACACTAACCAACCTCGTCATGTACCACCACAAACACGGAAAAAAATGTATACAACTTAGTTTAAGCCTTGTGTGATCAGGGAAACTGGAGCTCAGATCTGCAGGAGGAGATGGTTTAATGAGAAGAGAAGCTAGGGCAGGAACAAGGCCCTACAGTCCTGTGTCTAGTAGATTGTACAGAGAGGCCTACGGGTGGCATCCAAGTGGAAAATGCCAAACAAATCAAACAGGACCTGATGAAACATGTCCTGGAAAAAAACAAGAAGGGAGGGGAGGAGGGGAAGGGCAATTGTGAGAATTCCTGGATATCACAACTAGCAGCCTGTGCTGGGCCAACTGGCTGAGACAAGGACAAGCAGCCTTGAACTGTAGTCAGGCTAGGGCCTATGGAGATTCAGCCAGCACTGATGCTCCATCACATGCTGGCTCAGATAGGCAGTCATGGCAGAAAAAAAACAACACAACCACTTTATATACAGAAGAGTTTGCACATAGAGCAGTAGTCCTGGACAAGGACTTGACCATTACTTGGGAATATTCTAAAGACTCTGGATGGCCGGGCAGTGGTGGCGCACGCCTTTAATCCCAGCACTTGGGAGGCAGAGGCAGGCGGATTTCTGAGTTCGAGGCCAGCCTGGTCTACAGAGTGAGTTCCAGGACAGCCCGGGCTACACAGAGAAACCCTGTCTCGAAAAACCAAAAAAAAAAACCAAAAAACAAAAAGACTCTGGATGTAGGCAGAAAGTTAGCAGGGTACTGCACCCTTTTAAAGCTTTTAATGGCTCAGTATGATCATAACAGGTGGTGTGCACTCCAGGTCACAGGGTTAAAGTCTTAGGGTGTGGTATAAAGATGTACAGTCACATAAAGGGAAGTAAGAAAACAGTACACCTGTGTGTGAAAGGCATAAACGGACACTATAGCAAATGGGAGGTCAGGTGAACGCATGGTCATTACATCTTTTTCAACTTTTCTGTTGTCAAAAAAATTTCAAGATAAAAGTTGGATTCCTGTGCACTAAAGATCAGTGGTGACAAGGACAACCCACTAGGATGACTCATGAACAGCAGCAGTACTTACAACCCCCAATCTTCTTTCGTAGCTCGCCATAGCAGATGAGACCATAGAGTTCCTGGGATGATTTCTTCAGCCCTCGAGAGAACACTGGAAGAAAAGAGGATGAATGTTAGGCAGGAGGGACAGAAACATGACAGGGTACATACAGGATGCTTGTGTAAGAATACAGAAGAAGCTGAGACTTATCACATGTGGATCACAGCACCTTGTGTACATAATTACTGATCTCTCTGAGGGTCCCACAGTTCTCAAAGCCAGTTGTAAAGGCAGGACAGTGTCAAGGTACCTGGTTGAGACTACTGCTTCTAGCACAGAAGCAAGTAGCTGGCCCCTGGCTGTGTGTGTCTAATGAGGAGCCATCAGAACCTTGGGAGAGCCAGAATCACAATATAAAGGCCCTTCATGTGTGGTGACTGTTCAGTCCACAGGACAGAGAAAGACAAGAAGGAAGTTGGGTGGCCACACAGGGAAGCAAGAGAGTACAGTTTGGTATGATCCTATAATATGCTAAAGTATCTATCTCTCACCCCTGATGGGATAGAACTAAAAAAAAAATGATGCTACCAGGAACTTGAAGGACCTGGAGTCAGGAGGTGCTTCTGCAGAAAAAGGAACAAAAAAGAAACATTGCTTTAATATATGCTTTGCAATACTGACCCATGAAAAGCCTCAGACTTAGCAGACCCTGGGAAGGAGTGTGTGAGTCTCAGGGCCATGGATAGCACCTGAATTTGTACCATCCACAATGCCCGGTAGAGCTTGATGAACAAGTCAGATACATTCAATCATCACACTAGACATAACTTGATCCACAACAGTCTTCAAATTCTAACTCATGAGTCATCTTCTCACTGAGGGAGACCTCTCAAGAGCAGCTCGAGTGGATCCTCACACAAAGCCTTGGAATGACTTTCAGAACTTACTGTGAGCTCCAACAAGAAAAGGAAAAGTACATAAACAGTGCATCTGGAAGGCACAGACATTTCACTATACTATGATGTGGACGAACACAGCCTCAGATTTCAGGGACTGGAGTAGGGCTGAGATATGCACACAAATCAGTGATGGGGCACACAGCAGTGGTGATAACAATTGAAAAACAACAAGAAGGGGTTGACTTCAAGTCTGCAGAAAGATCTTATGTTGATGATCATATGAATTATGGAAGCTACCAAACAGGTACCCAGAGATCAACTGGGAGATGACCCCCATACCCCAAGCTGTGGAGACTGACAATCTAATCCTAGGAGTCTCTAGAAATAGACAAGAAGAGGAAGGGTATGTGATCCCACAGAGCTCTGTTCCTCTGTAATGGGGGGTTGGGAATGAAGCATTGTCCTTTAAAACTATAGTACCATGATGTATATCATGGCCAACATAGCATGACCTGGCAAAGGGAACACCACAAGAAAGGTGAAGATCAGGGGTGCCAAAGGCCACCATGAAGGCACAGGCAGGGGTCAGAAGAAAGAGCAATGTGGCCATAGCTATATGCCCACGATTCTTATGTCAGAAACTTCACTATCTAGAAAATTAAGAGTATTAGAAGAAAGAATCTACAGAGTAAGTCTACTGTAGAAACTGCAGAAATGCAAGGCAGAATGGAGCAGGCTGGGACCAAATGAGTACAGGAAGAGAATCCAGAAACACGGAAGGAGGAGGTAGTGAGGTTTACAGAGAAGGACAGGTGACTAGATTATGGATTGAAGAGGTAGTGTCACCGAGAAAGTGGTCAACCAAGGGTGCTTGAAACTAGCCAGAAACTAGACTAACATTTGGAGATGATCGAGTCACCTCTCTGAAGATGTACTGAACTGTCTAAATCCTGACTATAACACAGATGACAGGAATAGTGGCAGAGCCAGAATCCACCCTGGCAGACCAGTAAAATTAAGGCTTTCTTGTGCACCCACAGTTCAGTTTATTTCAGTGCCCAAACTACTAAGGGGATCCAGAACTTTCTGCTATGAGGCAGCTTCCTTCCAGGTAAAAATCTTCCTCTACATTGTTGGGAAACTTTGAGACACAGAATGTCAAGAGAAAGTGGAAACCAGAGTCTAGGATAGCATGTTTACAACAGGATGTTCTAGGGGGAGGTAAAATACTTCCCGCAGGGAAACTGCATTAAGAAAGGAAGTAAACAACTCAAAATAGCTCTAGCAAGTACCTGAAATCGACCAGATTTCCTAGGCCAAATTCCCTCTGCAAGAGTATGTAAGTAAGTAATACAGACTAAAAGTTACTTTTAGACAAGTCGAACTGTAAAAACTCTTGGTAAAGCCTAACTGCCTACAAGAAGCAGAGAACACAGAACCACCGTGGAAGAACAGTTTCCAGTCTGTTGAGCTGACTGCAGGACATGCTGCAGTGTTCACTAGATATCCTGTTCTGGTGAGCTGTTACACCTGCTGGGTGGGCTTGGGTGACAAAACTTTGAGTCATTTCTGCTACTGTAAGTAACCTTTCACTCAAATTCCTGTAAGTAGTTCTCCAAAACCTCACTGGCCCACCAAATTGGAGCTTGGTGGTATTTGGTGCTTTGACCTGGTCTGTCATGGACTCCTTCCCTCTCTAGGGCAAGTAGACATTTGTGTGTTGTGCTTCTGGAAATGTCTGTCACCCAACATAAACACACTCAAAGACACTGAAACACAGAAAGCACAGCTCAAACAGTAGGAAGGTTCTTTCCACAGAAGGAACAGCTTCCTCACAATTAAATTTAACCGATAGGTTCTGGGCATGCCCCCAACCAAAGCACTAGGATGCAAGTCCCACAGTAAGCAGCCAGGTGAATATGAGGTCACAGAGAGTGGGCAATGGGTGTTTGCCTGGTGGTCTTCTAGGGCTGGGTCTGTGTGACACTCACCGTTGTCAAAGTCAATGTATTTGGTAATCTTGTGCCAGGTGCGGTAGTAGAAATGCCGGACCTGCTCTTTGTTCTTCACCATGCTTGCAGGTTTGCCCTTCTTCTTGTACTTTAAAGCAATGTTGTTCTGAATGGCTTCAAAGTCTTTTCCATGCTAGAACACAAAGTCCACAATAAAAGCATTGCAATTAAAATAACTTTTTGGTATAATGTAAGTAAGCATCATCAAAAGTCAAAAAGGGACCAGCTACGCACAGCATAAAACAAACTAAGCTTTAAAGCAGAAAAGCATGAAACTTATCATTGGAACAAACAGTTATGGGTGGCCCTTAGGGGACCATGAGGGAGACTTATAGGAGGATACCACAGTAGAGAGCTCAGGCTGTCACCACAAACCATCTTACAGTAAAAGAAAGGTCGCTCTTCAAAGCTACCTGCTGATTTGATCATGGAAAATGTGATCAAAGAGACGCAGCACATACACATACTTGGGAATAGAACTGAGAAACCGAAGTGTTCTGACCACATCTAAGGACCGATCCTTCCTAGAAGACCAACTGCAAAATCTGGGCGCGGTTGGAATTTGAGGATGGGACGTGTGTTCCTGTGTTGATGATATAGAGAACTAGCAGTTTGGTGATCTCAAAAAAGAAAAGAGCTGGTTAGAAGTACTGGAAGCAGCCTGTGCTGTCGTCTTAGGCTATGTGGGTCCTAGAGATCAAGGTCAGGCTCAACGACAAACGCCTCTACCCGCTGAGCCACCTCACTGGCCTATTACAACATTTTTAAAGTCGGAAACTGTTCCAAAGTGAAAAATGAAGTTATTTTAATTGAAAACTTATTCACTGCTTTAAAATACTTAACAGGAAGTGGAAACTCAAGGCTAAGCCAGGCAAATGAGGACCTAGAGGTTAGCCTAGCAACAGACTGAGAGCAAGTCTCATAAAATAGGAAAAAAACATAATAGCTAATCATGGAAAGGTACAGCTGGGCCTTTGTTTCTGTGTCTGGCTGGTCGGCTATCTCCTCAGCAGCTGCTAACTTGAACAGAAACAGATAGAGACAAGCTCCATGCTGTGAGGTCTGACTGCCTCATTTATGACTCCTCAACCTGTATTCTCAAACTAAATGGCCTGTAGGACGTGAGTCCTATAGGTCTAGATAGGCCATCACCTGAAAAAACCAATCTGAGTTCAGGCCCAAAATTGTGCTCACAGTAGAGTTGGAGATGTGGGTATCTTAAGCAAGAAAGAAGAGAAGGGACAAAGACAGCAGCAGAGTCTGTGCATCTGGCCAGCTATCTGCACCCTCCGGGCCAGGAATGTTGCTGTGAGCTGGGTTTCCAATGGTGGTAAAGAAATCAGACTAGGTTCTGTGAGCATGTGCAAATCTCCTCAGTGGGGGGAGGGAACACCATGCCTAGTATGCACCAAGATATTATTACCATCATCCTTATGCACACTTATGTATGCCTGTGTGTACATACTGTGCACACACACAAATATGTTGACAAATATTACAGAAACAATTCTTAGAGCAGAGGTCTATGCTCAGCCCACTAATCCAATCCCACTGCTGGAGATTTCAACTGCCCACACTCACCCAACACTGGTCAGACAGACGCCAAGGCCTTACCAGGGTCTTTCAGTCAGACTCGAAATGAAGTGTGAATTCCCACACTCTTCCACTGGTTATTTTTTGTAGACTTGATCCCAACTACAGTCATCTAAGAAGAGGGACCCTCAAATGAAAAACTACCTCCATTGCATTGGCCTGTGGCCTTGTCTCTGGGACATTTTCTTGAAAAAATAATTGACATGAAAGGGCCCAGCCTCCTATGGGCAGTGCCACTCGAGCATACCTTCCTGAGTTGTATAAAAAGAAAACTAGCTGAGCAAGCTGTGGGAAGTAAGCCAGTAAGTAGCACTCCTCTATGGTTTCTGCTTCCAGGTTTCTGTCTGAGTTTCTATCCTGGCTTCAAAGCCTCAGTGATAGAGTTTGTGAACTGGCAATTGAAAGATGAAATAAACCCTTTCCACCCCAAGTTGGTTTTGATCATGGTGTTTACTATAGCAACAGCAACCAAACTACAATAACTCTCTTAGCCTCTCTTCCTCTCTGTGTATCAAATCACAGAAGGCATTAATAACATTATTACAAATCAAGGATTTAGGAGACCTAAAAACATGTGCCTGGTTGAAGAAAGGAAACAGGAGTGGTGGTGCACGCCTTTAATCCCAGCACTTGGGAGGCAGAGGCAGGGGGATTTCTGAGTTCGAGGCCAGCCTGGTTTGCAGAGTGAGTTCCAGGACAGCCAGGACTACACAGAGAAACCCTGTCTCGAAAAACTAAAACAAAACAAAACAAACAAACAAAACAAAAAACAAAACAAAACAAAAAAACAAGGAAACAGCCCAACTGGAGAATGGCTGGGATGGTCTTCACGAGAAAGCCTCCTCCTATAGTTTGTAATCAACAAGCATACCTCACACTTCCCTTACAGAAGCTGCAGAGCTAGACCACCTTGCAGAGCTCAGGCTCCAGGAAGAAAGGAAAACACCATAGTAGTTACAGTTTACGGAAAGATTCACTAGCAGTTGCACACTCTCACAACCCAGCAGGAATCACAAGTCTATTATGCCTAACCGCTTTAAAAAGTATAATTGGAAGACAATCTACACAGATGGAATCTGTGCTTTATTATAACTCTGAAAAGCAAAAGAGCCCTTTCACATTTGTTTGAATGATTTTTGCAACTACCCTAACAAGTCTTGTATGTTGTACCTATTCATTCTTTCTATGGATAACAAGTGTCAGGTCACACGAACATGTCAGTCACACTCCTCTGAAATGAGCAGAACTTAGACTATCACCCACACAAGGGAGGAACACCAGTCATAGGAATATAATAAAACCAAGTCTTTGGCCCATTAGAGGTGTCTCACTTTCTAATCTTCTGTAAACACTGTTTTAAATTCCTGCACTTCATTCTGTGTGGAGCTTGTCCTTCTTAGGTTTGGCAAGGTGCATCCATCACACCCATGAATGAACTATTAAGAGGACAAGACTCGCTGATTAAGTCAACATGCCAAATAAGTCATCTAAAATGAGGAACATGAACAAAGATGTTCACGACATCTATGCACACAATGACAGAGTCTGCAAGGAATTAAAACAAAACATAAACAAGAATAATATAAACAATAGGCTGGGGAAATCAGGCTGGTAGTAATTCTCCTTGTTTAGCATGCATAAGAACATGAGGACAGATGGACACACGCAGACATGCAGACAGAGACACACACACACACATGCACAAGGGACACATCTACTGCAACCACTCAACTCTGTTACTGGCTCAACAATCAACTCAGACAGCACATGAAGGAATAGGCATGGCTGTACTCCAGTTAAATTTCTCCTTTATACAAAAGCAGACAAGGTGTATATAGGTCCATCTGTCTACATCCAAAGAAGCACATCTATAGCCATTTTTCTTTTTGTTGTTTTAATGAGTAAAAGGGCTCAGTGGTTAAGAGCATTGAATGTTCTTTCAGAGGACTCAAGTTAATTCTCAGCACCCCGATGGCAGCTCCCCACCATCTGTAATTGTAGTTCCAGGGTATCTGGCATCTTCTGTCCTCTGAGGGTATACATACATATAAAGTTAAAATAAGTAAGTCCTTAAAAAAAATAAGTAAGCACCATAACAAACAAATTTGATGTTAATGAAAGTATGTTCACAAATAACAACAAGGCTACGAAAAACAAACTTCGCAGTAGAGGCAGCTGGCAGGGCACAGCCACGTCAGTAGACATGGGTCTGGGAAGTGGCTTTTCTTATTCTAACAGAACTCCACATTTGATTCTAAGTAAGTTGTAATATCTTCTGGGACTTAGCTGCTACTCTGGCTAACAGGGCCAGGTATCTGCTTGTCCTTGTGCACTAGGGGATGCTTCCCAAATCAGTCACTGTATTGCCAAGTGAAAGCCCTAAGGAGGGTTATACTCCAGGCAAGTATGCATGAAACATGATTGAAAGCCTTGGGAAAGAGCATTCATCCTAATAGCCCCAGAAAGGAGATGACAACTGCCCTGGCCACTTCGAGGATCCTTGATAGAATCTGCCCACTTAACAGCAATGCAGCAAAGGGAAACACAAGATAAACAGGAGGAAGACCACTGGGGGTCCTGACTTGGCGTCTACAACTCACCTCATACAGTCCCTCGAAGAAGGTGTTCTTGTCCTCCGTGCTCCATGACTCCCACTGCCTTCGGACCTTCTTTCCTTCTTCCTTCTCAGGCCCTGAAGAGCCGATGTTCCGGGAGGAGGAGCGGGAGCCTCCTGCAGGGGTGGCAGGGGCAACCCCAGACACGTTTCCAGAAGATGATGCACCACCGTCACTTCCTTGGAAAGAAAAGACTGTACAATAACATGTTCAGAAAGCTGAGGGATAGGAACAGGGAGGACAGAGGAGCACCAAGGGCCCACTACCATACCCAATTTCAACTCTTCAACAGGTGATGCCAGCAACAGAGCACTAAAAAGCCACTGGGTCCTGATCAGAAGCCAGAGCTGATCAGATGATTCTAAAAATCTTTGTACAGTGAGGAAAGAGCCTGTGTAGATAGTTTTAACAACACAATGAATCTGATATTTTGTTCATACTTAAGAGTCTAACCCCTGCCCCTTCAGCAAAGCCACAAATCACATTTCATGCTGATTCTTGCTCAAATGTGTTTTTTAGTTTGAAATATTCTTACTACATTTTCGAATAAACTGAATTTCAAGTGACAATCTACACAAATAGAGTTGATATTTCAGAATATAGACCATTTAATGCTTAAAGTATAGTCTGAAGATACCTTCTCTCTCTCTTTTTTCTCTCCAGTAATAGAAATATGAACCCAGGGCCTTGCACATAGTAGGTGAACACTCTACCACTGAGCTTATCTCCATATCTAAACCCCTTCCCTTATCTTTCATCTGCTTCAACTTACAGTAAGCATACAGCTTAGCATAATCTCCACCGTATTTTGAGTTTATTAGGAGGTAACCCCATCGTGAATCAAAGAGCAGCCATATTTGAATATTTGGAAATAATTCACACTCAGAAGTCAGAAAACTGCACATTCACACAAATGGAAAACATTTTAGCTAGCCAGCTACATCAAATGGTCTCTAGTCTCTCATTTAGATGTATGTGGCTTAACTTCAAGAGACAACACTACCAGACTTATAGAACTATGTCAATGGCTTAGCAGAGCCAAACTTTCAGTTACCAAACAATAACCATATAAGGCTATTTAAATATTAACTAAGAATAAAAACATGGTGGTACACACCTTTAATCCCAGCACTCAGAAGGCAGGTAGATCTCTGTAAGACCTTTGAGACCAGCCTGGTCTATGTAAGTGAGTTTTAGGCTAGACAAGGGTTAAATATATATATTGACCCTGCCTCACAAAATAAACAACATAATAAATTAATTAACAAAACATACTAAAGAAAACCAGTTCCTTAATCTCACTATCCAAATTTCCAACAGTTAAAGACCTCACATGGTTCATGGTCACCTTCCTAGATAGTGCAAAACATTTTACTCGGTATGGAAATTGCTAGACCAGTCAGTGCTTGCCACTCAGTATTTACTGCTCTGAACACAGAAACAAAGTGAAAATACACTGCAGTCTGCACATACCCCAGCAATGCTACTCAGGTCCCTGGGCTAAACAGCAGGGCAAGGAAGGGCTACACAAACCTCCAGATCCCTGCAGCACAACAAACATAGGGCTTCTCAGGCATTTGCAGCAGGCAGGCTGCAAAAGCACTTCCAGGAGACAGGAGGAGATGCTTCTGTGGAGGACTCAAAATCAAATCACAAGTTGAAACAATTCTCAAACATCACAATGTCCGGTCCCAGGAACTCACAGTTCTTCACACACTGCTGTTTAGGAAGTGCTGGCTATCCACTTCTTTACCCACTATGGAGGACTTCAGAGCTACTTCTAGCTTCCCAAGAAACACAAGCTCTCTTCTCCCCAGTAACAGCATCCCAGCCAGCCAGCCAGCCCTTTAGTGACCACTCAGGTTAACTTTTGTTAGTCCATACTGGTGCTAGCATGCTCAAAAGTAGACACACAGCCTCTAAATCCCAGAAGCCAAGTGTCTGACAAATGTTATGAGCTCATTGTGACCTGGACAAAGGAGAACTAAGTTTTCCTGGACAAAGAAAAACTGAATTAACACTAATACAAGGGAGAATGAACCTTTGGGGCAGAGTAGCCCAAATCCTACTCCTAGGCACAAAGTTATATCAGAGAGAAAAGCTGAGGCAGCAAGTGACTCCTCAGAGCCGCAGTCACTGTCCAAGGGCCTACCATTTGCTCTGGGATACCTGGTCCCTCTTTCTGTTATTTCAGAAGTACTACAACCTCAGGAGGGAAATGAAGGCAACCTGGACATTCAAGTACAAAACTAAATTACTCCATGCAACAATTCCTACCATTCCTATGCAGCATCCTACAACTCAAAAGCTTTGGGAAAAGAACACTGACACCTAGCCTCCCTCCAAAATTTCAGGTGAAGACAGACAGAAAGCATAAAGATAGGAAGCAGAACCAGGAACACTGATGGGCTACAATGACAACAGCCTGGAAGAAGTTCAGTCCAGAAAAATGCCCAGGGAAACAGAAAGTGATCAAGGTGAGCAGGAAAACAGCTGGATCAAAAACTAAAAAAGATATGAGATGACTTCAAGGAATACCGGTAGGACTGGATGCTTCCACAGGATGCCGAGGCCAAGGCTCCATAGGTGCAGAGGTGTGTGAGAAGTCCAAGGCTCCAAGTACAGAGGGCTTCGCTAACAGTATATCTGATAAAAGTCAGTGCCTCTAAAACATAAAGAGACATGGTATATACAGACTCCGCAATGGAGAGCCCCTAAAAGCAAGGACAGGGTCCTGGTTCTCCCAGGCCTAAGCTTGGCACCAGGCTTTACACAATAGAAGCTCAGTGACAGCTCAGAAGCAGTGAAGGCAGACAAAAGGCTGACACTGAGCACTGGCTTAGTTTTTGCCTTCTATGCCTTCGTCTCCACAAAGCACACCTGAGGATCTGGAGAGCCTCTCCCACCAAATCCATTACTGCCTTTGGCCAACATCAGAACCTCCACCACATTGCCACCAGGTCAGCTGTGCCCTACCAATTCCAACACTTTCCTCTCTATTCACACAGCTTGCCATCCCTATAGTGGGAGTCTCTAGAGCATGTATAGCCATGGTTTCCTTCCCTGTTGCTCTGACATCACCTGAAGAGGCCAAAAATCACTCTGGCTATCAACCAGGAATACTGAGAAAGCAGAGTAGCTCTTCACTGCTACATGGCTGCTCAGTACACAGTAAGCATGGCAGTAGTAGAACATGACTTCAACTTTAACACACACACACACACACACACACACACACGCATGGCTCCATTCTGCCTTTATAATAAGCAGAGCTCAAAGGTTTCAGAAAAAGAACACTAGCACCTAGTCCCAGATCCAAAACCTATTTTAGAAGAGGAGAAACTGAGCTACAAAAGCATGAACACCAGGAGGTGGTAGCGCACGCCTTTAATCCCAGCACTTGGGAGGCAGAGGCAGGCGGATTTCTGAGTTCGAGGCCAGCCTGGTCTACAGAGTGAGTTCCAGGACAGCCCGGGCTACACAGAGAAGCCCTGTCTCGAAAAACCAAAAGAAAAAAAAAAAAAAAAAAAAAAAACATGAACACCCCAAGGTCACCAGGCATGGAAAACCAAGTGACCCAACACTTCCATTGTAAGCCCAGGCCTCTCCCTATCCCACGCCACTGCCCATCTCCACGCTGTGGTGTTACTAGTCCTCTCAAGTCACTCGCTCCCTGACTGAACCATCCTATGACTGCAGCTTTTATTATACACAAGGCTACAAAATTCAGGATTCTGGAAGGACAAGACTTGAAACTTGACCTTTCGGTCTTTCCCTCAGTTTGTGAAAGATAAGGAAACAAAGGTCAATGACCTCCCCAAACTACCTGGCTCATGAATTATCACTCTGAAAGATTTCTATTCCGTTCTTTTTTAAGAGTACACTGTCATTGTCTTCAGACACACCAGAAAAGGGCATCGGATACCATTACAGATGGTTGTGAGCCACCATATGGTTGCTGGGAATTGAACTCAGGACCTCTGGAAGACCAGTCAGTGCTTTTAACCACTGTCTCTAGCCCCAAGATTTCTAATTCTTAAAAATACATTTTTACAAACTTCATGACTGGTTTGGGGATATAGCTCATTGGTGAGACCTTGGGTTCAATCACCGGAAGAGGGAGAGAAAGCTGGGGGAGAAGACTAGAGAAGAGGAGGGAAAAATGGAAGGGAAGGCAGGCAGGAAGGGAGGGAAGAAGAGAGAGAGAACAAGAACCATGTGGTAACTTCAGAGGATACCATTAAAATCTGCCATAATTTAAAAGAACCTCACTATCTTGACAGTCTGTCTCTCCCTTGATTTGTGAGCTTCCTTCTAAGAACTAGGAATGTTAAATCCAGAATAGCAGGCAACAAGCTAAGTCAAGAGATACAGTGATTGTCCTAGAGATTGCCAGGCTCCTGCTCATTTAGCCTGTTCTAAGAAAGGTGTTTGTAAACCAACTCCAAGCTTGTCCACTCTTGATCACTGCACAAAAAGGCATTCCTATGCATTTCAAGGATGGCACACACCATCAAGGCCCAACAAGGCCACCACAGTTTACAGGATACACAGGCATGGCAAAAGGCAAGAGCTCATGAAGGGAACCTCAGAGTCTGTGTCTCTGCTGGCATAGGACATTCACATTAGAAGCTGGCTCAAGCAGTTTTGTTTGTAGAGTCCTAAAGGTATCTGAGAGAGACCATCTCTACCAAAGTCACATAGGAGGAACTCTTCATAAGCAAGCCAGTACTCAAGGATTGCAATCTCAATGGATGACCCCAAATACCTACCACTGGCCCAGCCCTGTCATCATTAACATCCAAAGCTGCTACTTGGTCAGCATGGCAGGTGTTCAATAAACAAATGAGGATCCCTCCCAACTCTGGTCATTCAACTAGTCCCTAAAGACGCCATTTGTATGCACCAACTATTCTGTGAGATTCTTCCAAGGTGATCAGACTCTAGAATGCCCTCCTTTATACTCTGAAGGGGACTTGGAGCCTTGATTCTTATCCCTCAACACAGATCCCCTTCCTTCCATTCAGTCTCCTGCTCTCACACCTTCAAGGCTCAGTGTCATACCTCAAAGGTTCTCCCATTCCTCCCACAAGTAAAGAAATCACAACTAAAAATCCCACTGTCTCTATAAAAACATAGGACCTCCTTATGGAATACCACAGGGATTTCCTCACTGTCTTCTACAGCCAATACCTTTTATCTCTGTAGAACTACAAACTGTCGGAAATATTTTCTGTTCTAGGTGGTTTTTACATTGTTCTTTAGTGCTAAGATCATTGTTATTCAACCTAATAAAAGACTTCCATATACCACATATGACAACAGCAATTCTCAAGTTTGTGACTTTGCTATCTGAAATAATTTCTTAACAATCAAAAATATGGTTTCAAATATCAAGATGTTAAAACATCCTTTACTAGCAAAAGGCAGTCTTACCTAACACGTTAGACACTATGGAAACTATTCACTTCAACCTTAAAAGGAACTGAACTAGGTGTAGTCGAGCATGCTTTTAATCCCAGTAATCAGTAGGCAGAGGCCAGCAGGAGCTATACACTGAGCTTTCAACTCAGTAGCTGGTGTTACATTTCCTACTTACCAACTTCCTTGAACTTTATAATTTATCATGAACCTTTGAGTAATATATTGTACCTAACAGCCTGCAGTGGCAGTTCATTTGTGAATTCAAAGCCAGTCTGAGCTGGAGTTGAATTCCTGTCTCAAGAACAAAATTTTATACAGTTACGCAGTCTTGAGAGTTTCCTCTCTACCTTGGGATCTGCTACCTTCACAAACTGGTGGGGTCTTTGTCAAAAGTAGGGAATCACATGTTCAGGCTGTCTTCTATTGTAATGGATGTCACAGGGGGTGTGGCTGGAAGCAAGACAAGAGTGTATGTGTTTGCCTTCTTTTTCTTTTAAAAACCCAGATAGGGTTTTGTTGTGTACCCTTGGCTGTCCTAGAACTTGCTTAGTAGACCAGACTTGACCTTCAACTCAGATAGATTTGCCTGCCTGTCTCTGGAGTGTTGGGATTCAAGGCTATGCCACCATACCTAGCAATTTGTTTTTCTTTTTTCTGAGAAATGAACATTTTACTCAGTAGTTCAGCAGTCCATAAACTGGCCAACTAAGGAAGAGCATTGGGGGGTTCCTAGGTCCTAGCCTAGGTTCTTATGTACAGTCTCAGTAACTCTGGTTTCAGTCACAAAAGGATCCTTGAGTGTATTTGGCATGTGGCAGGACTGGAATAAGCAGATTTGTCATTTTTGACTTCAGGTAAGCTTAGGATAGAAACAAAAAAACAGTCTCTAAAGCCATTCAAGAGCAAAGTTATAGAAATGAAGAGTGCCTGCTGTGGGGACACTAAGTCTCTCTCTCTTTATCACTTAAAAAAAATGTAGAATCATACTAAAAAAATTTTATTCAAGTCAAAGTATCTACTCTTCTGTCCTCAAAGGACAGCTATGCAGAGCTAACCAGACAAGGAGGACCACCTTCTTCTCCATAAAGCGTTCTTTCCAAACTCCCATCACAATGAGACTTGGAAAGATGGAAGTCAACCAGCAAAGAAACTACCACTGCTTCAGCTGGGAGCTGCCTTCACCTATGCAAATTGTGTTTTTTTCCTAGTCAGAACTGAAAAAGCAGGTATTCCTCACTTCTTACTGACCCACCCTGGCGAGCCAAAGTGGAGATTTCCCATGAGGAGAAGGAACGCTCCTCCAGAGAGACAGTTCTGAGGGTTGGCTACACAATGTGCATAGGCATGTGGTCACACCTCATCTCTCCCAGCAGTGGACAGAGGTGACTGATGACTGAGCAAAAGTTTCTCCATAGCCAGACTGGGGATGTCCAGGGCATGGTGAACTGTATCTGAATGGCCTGCGCAACACATGAGTGGATGGAAGCTACCAAGAAAACTTACCAGGAAGGCAGGCACTGCCAAAGAAGCTGCCAGAAGAAATAGACTCTCACTGTCCTCCTAGGAGCACTAGTATAGCTTACTTTACTATAGCCACATAGTAAACAGACAAGAATCATAACCAGAGCCGGGCAGTGGTGGCGCACACCTTTAATCCCAGCACTTGGGAGGCAGAGGCAGGTGGATTTCTGAGTTCGAGGCCAGCCTGTCTACAGAGTGAGTTCTAGGACAGCCAGGGCTATACAGGGAAACCCTGTCTCGAAACCCCACTCCCCCACAAAAAAAAGAATCAGAACCAGAAGCACCAATGATCATCTAAGGGAGAAGTTAACCGGGAACCTCTTCTACCTGTGCGAACAAAAACAAACCCCTCTCATAACTACCCAGCTCCCAACCCACTGAGCACCACCTTTAATTTAGCACCCCTTCTATGCACAGTCACTTGTGAGTCGGTGTGCTTACACGACCACAGTCCTTCCCCTTCTATGCACAGTCACTTGTGAGTCGGTGTGCTTACACGACCACAGTCCTTCCCCTTCTATGTACAGAGTCACTTGTGAGTGGGTGTGCTTACACGACCACAGTTCTTCCTAGCACCCAAACTTCAAGAGGTATCAACAACTGCTATTGTTTCTTTTTTCTCAAGTGGGTACATCTTGGACAGAAAAGCAAATCTGAATGAACAAAGAGAACTGAGTGGGCAAGGACATGGTAGGTGAGGTCTCGGTAGGAGTCCACACAGGCAGGTGTTCCTGAAACACCACTACCAAAGTCACTGTAGAAGTTAAAAGAACTTAGCACGGACCCAAGAAGCTTTAGCACACCTGTATCCTCTAGTGAAAAGTGATTTTTACAAAACAATCAAGTTTTGTAAACTCATGTTTTTCTAATACCAAAATAAACTTGTGAGGTGACTTTTAGTTTTGGAAACATACCAAGTTACCTCATACTTACATCTTTAAACTGGCATACTCACTTCAGAATTCTTTTGTTGATGCCATGAGTCTGGGTGAGGCCCCCCCCCAGATCAGGATGAGGCACAAGTGAGCTTAATGGGACACTTGTGTCAGACCCTCAATACAGATCTCTATTGCCTATTGAAATATTTTCTTTTTAAAACTACCAGGATCATCTTGGTAACTTAAATCAATATTCCCAAAGAAATGAAAAAAAAACTATAATAGTTAAAGCGCTGCTATAAATAAATGTTTTGGGTTTTGTTTTTTAAATACAGAGTCTCACAATGGAGCCCTGGCTGGTCAAGACCTGGCAATGTAGACCAGGCTGGCCTCGAACTCACAGAGACCCACCTGCCTCTGCCTCCCAGGTCCTTGGATTAAAGCCGTGTTTTCATGCATGGCTGTAAGCATGGAAAACTCACTGAAAACTGATGCCCCATTTGTTATTTTTTTTAAAGTGTTATATAAGCCAACTATCAATTATATTGGTTTTGGCATGTAATCTTAGCATTCAGGAAACTGAGGCAGAAAAACTATGAACTCAAGGTCTTAGTGAATTCCAGGACAGCCTGGGCTACCAGCAGATTTTGTCTTTAAAAAGGGGGGGGGGGGGAAGGGGGGTGGCAAACTTGGTCTGAAAAGAATGTAAGAGCAAATCTCCTGCATAGGTAAAACCCAAGATGCTGAAATATAAACAGAGAAAAGCAGACAGGGAAATAAAGACATGTGAAGAACCCACATGGCACATTGGTTTGTTATTTTTTTTTTTTTTACTTTGGTAAGAGGCTTCAGGAAAGCAGTTACAGTCTCAACACAAGACAGTTAGTTCTGTGGGCTGCCCTGATAGGTCACTGTTGACTTCATCAAGTAGAGATTCTTTCTGTGTCACCAAATATACCTCAGTTGAAACTCTAAGTGTCCCAGTTCTCTGTTCTTCATACTTTCAAGCTAGGAACACTTTGGTGGAAGACAATAAGGCAAAGCCAGTCTCTGCCACCCCATCAACAGCCTCCCCAGCCCATAAATTACAAAAGCCATCTCCTTTGTTGCATTGTCACTACTTGAGGTGTGGAAATAGAGCAGGTACTTTCTCTCTGCCTATACTTGAGCTATTGTGCGTAATTTAAAATGGCAATCCGTGAAAAACTGTCAGGGACCCTCTGGGAATCTATTTCTCTTGCCCAGAGAAAGAACAATCACTGCCCCCTATATTAGTAAAAAGAGGAAAGCAACAGCCTCCAAGGAGTGGAAGGGGGCACGTGCCCCTGCAAGTGCCACCCCAGGAGGTCTTGTCAGATGCCTACCTTTTCCTCGCGGCCCGGAACCGCTGGCACCACTACTGCCCACAGCACAGGGTGCGTCCTTCCTGGGCCTCTTGCTCTGTGGTCGCACGCTGGACCTTAGGAAATGGTGCTGGTCCTGAGGGATGCCCTGCGGCGGGGACGGGGTCGGCAGCCCTCTGGGTGGTGCGGGGGCTCCGGCGGCCCGAGGGGTCTGCCCGTCCCTCTTTGTGCTGCTGCTGTCCGCCGCGTCCGCACCGCCGGGCCCCTCTCCGTCCAGCGACTCCTCATCGGCCGTCCGCTTGCCCAGCTTCTTGAGCCCTTCCTCCCCGCTGCCGGCGTCGCCCAACTTCACTGTCATCCTGTGGCGAGAGAGACGAGGAGCGGTGAGGCGGGCGGCGGGCAGAAGTTTACCGCCGGCCTCCCAACATGGCGGCCGTTGTTTGTTCCAGCGCCGCCCGCCGCCCGCCGCCCGCCTGAGGGCCCGCACAGTGCTGAGCCCGACCTGACTGGGACCCCGCCCCCGCCCTTGGATGCCCCCAACCCAGGTAGACCAACACAGCCCTGAGCCGCGGAAGGCACAGCAGCATGACCTGGCCTCTGCGCTTGGCTCCCGCTGTCCCGCCACCTACCCCAAGGCGCCGCAGCTCATGGCCCCCAGCTTGAGCCCGCCTCGTTCCCCGCACGGCCCGTGGCCCCTGGCCTCCCCACTGCTCCCGAGCCGCGCGCGATCGTGCCGCGCACCTGCCTATTGCAACGGCCTCAGAGCCCCCAGTGCTCCATGGGCCAAAACTGCCGCTCCCTCCAAAGCTGGCATGCAAGAGAGAGGCTCTGCACTCCGGGAACCTTCCCAGGCACGAGATGGGAGATGGACCGACTACACCTCTCATTCAACAAAGCCTGTTGCATGGAACAGGTTAGGGGACACCGGAAAAGTGACAGCAAACACTGTTATGTTCCAGTCGGATTTCAAGAATCGGAACTGAACTATGTAAACAATTCTGGAAACAACAAAATTCCTGCTTTAACTTCTACCACTGGCATAAAATATCGATAAACAAAATAATAGTCTGTAGCCTGGAGAAGTTACAGTCAGAATAAACTAAAGTTCAGGTACATTCCAACATCTCAAGCACAGGCTGTGTACGTGATGAAGCAGGATAGAAAAACATTGTGTTCTTCAGCAGACCCTAGGTTCAACACAACTGTTGAAAAGATTCTACATAAGAAAACCAGACAAAGCAAAGCACCAATGCTAACGAAGAAACAGACTGAAGGTAAAGACCGGGATGTAAAACTCTAAGTGACACCATAAAATGGTGCTGCCAACAATGGTGTGCAGTTTTCCTGTTTGGCACAGATCTTTCAAATACTACCTTAAGAAAACTCTGGCACAGAACAACACAAGATACAAACCCACGCTAAATGATTTTATGGCAAAAGACTTCCCTTCGAATCTATTCACTTCTAACCCCCTCTCCAAGGTTCCCCAAACCCTGTCATTGTGCTAGGGAGTGAAACCCATTCCCAGAATCAGCACTGCCAATGCCAACAAGCAAAATGCATCAGTCCAACAAGACCCACTCGCCGGCGCGCCAGGCCGTGTCCCCAGGCGCATTCCGGTCGTTCCCCGGCGGCGGTTGACTCCATAGGAGTCCGTCACCGAAACCCGTCACTTCCTGACCGTGGGAGGCGCGGGCACTGCGGGCCTCGTCCCGGCTCCACACCCTTTGTCCCATTTCGGATGGGAGACCCTTCCTGAGGAGCTGACCGCTGGCTGCACGCGGCGTAGCCCGCGAACACCGCGGCCCCTCCGCGGATCCCGTAGGCTTCCGAATGCAGCCTGCAGTCACCTTTTTCATCCACGCTTCCCGGCAGCCTGGCTCCCGGATCCCGGGCCTCCGCAGAACCGACCCGGTCCGGCAGCTCCGGCTGCGGCGAGGCCGCGACGCCGGGCTGATGGTCGTGTGTCAGACGCGGTCACCGAGCGCTGTTCCCGTCGAAGTCCTTTCAGTGGACCGGCGTGCGGCTAACAGGGCTGACGGCCCCGGTGCTGCCGCCACTCGCCCTCCCACACCCGGGACGCCGCGCTCTAAACAGTTCCGGCTACGGCGGCCGCCGGGGACATGAAGTCGGCGCCGGAGCGGGGCGGGGCGAACGTCCCGCAAAAAAGACGAGCACGTCCAGCTTTTCTGCGGGCGCGCCCAACCAGCTAGGCTGCCATTGGTCAGCAGGCGTTACGTGCGCGCGCCCGCACCGTGTACAGGGGTGGGCCCGCAACGTGGGGCGTGTTGTGACGGGAACCTCGCGCCCTTGCGGGTCGTGCGTCTCTTCCGATTGGCGAATCGACAACCAATAGGATCAGTGTGCTGATTGTGATTGGCTGAGACTATGTTGACGGATGCGTGAGAAGAAATCACCGCCTCAGCTGGGCGTCTTGAAGCGCGCGGGAACTCGGGTGGGGACTATGCACTCCGAAAACAGGTTTAGGGCCATAAATATATCGTAGCATAGCCCACTAACACGTTCCCTATTCGGAGCTATAAGGAAATGTGTTTTTAAAACTCCAACGCTTACGCATGTGGCGTTTGAAAATGAGTATCCCAGTTCGCAGGAGGTCCCCGCCCCTGGTTATCCCCTTAGCTCCTTGGCGTGGACCGTGCTACTGCGCCTGCTCTCCAGCGACACCCGCCGTTAGCTAACTCTGGCTAAAGTGCGCACGGTCGCCCAGGGAACCCGGTGCCTAGCTGCTGCAAGGTTCTGCTGAGTACTGCTTGCAGCGGTTTCCCGAGGCGTCAACGCGCCACTCTCCGAGACGGCGTCCGGTACTCAGAACGTCCCGGAGAAGCTCTCGAGCCGCGCCCTCCCATCCGTGGCGATGCAACTAAGCTCCGCGAGGTGCTGGCTGATAGCCTGCGTGATGGAGTGGGCAGGATGAACTCTGGGAGAAAAGTATCAGGAGGCTTGACGGAGCTTGCCCTTAGTAGCAAAAAGTTCTGGTCCACTCATTAGCAGGAAGCCCAAACTGTGGCCCTGAGACGGGCCTGAGACTCAGAGCTGCCTCGGGAGGTACCGTTTGTCTTCGGCTCTTTCCGCCACAAGTCGCCAGCCGTCGTTTTGGGAGGTAGTGCGGCTGTCCCTCGACTGCTTCCGCTTTCCTTAGCGGCGTTGTCCCGGCAACACGGAGGCACAGGGAATCTGGCGAAATTAGATTTCTATACCTGAGGTGCAAAGGGGCCTGGGGCTAGAGTGGGGAGTGGCTGGGGGTGGGATGGGCTCCTCCGGGATCGGCCTGGAGCCTAGATGCGTCCTGCCAGGACCCTCTGTGCTGGCTTCAAGAGAATTGTCCCTCTGCACAGTCCTAGAGCCCCCTGCTGGACTTTTGAGCTGCTGTGTAGGTCCTTCTGGATGCATTTAGTATGAAGTTGGGGGAAAATAAGAAAGCCAAAATCCTCCGCTTGGTTATAAAGATAGCATGACCTGACTGGACCACCTACACAGTCCTTCAGTAATGTCTACATGATGCAGCTAGTGACTTATTCTGGCCTAGAGAGCTAGACTTTATTTAGATCATTGGTCACTACCCCGAAAGGCTACTTTAGAACCCATCTTCTTGTTCCTGAGACTCTCTGAAAGGAGTAACTTGTGTTTAAGCCTAATTGTTAGTATGATTCCTTGGTATAATGAGTTTAACCAGCTTTCCTAAGAGTTGGTTTCATTGGAGGCACTTACCTCTAAAAATGATTGATGACTATAAAAATGAAGATCAATTGACTGGAAAAAGTGAAATTGCCCTTTTCTTGTTTTATGGCGTAGATACTTGAAACTTGTTCCTGAACTAAGGCCATTAACAGGTTTTTCAAATAACTATTTTATTGTGAGCATCTGCCTCCTAAAATTTATTTAATAGCTTTTTAATTATTTGGCCAATTCTCATTTTAAAACTTAAGTGTTCTGCTCAGTAGTGCCACATACATTTAACCCCAGCACTTGGGAGGCAGAAGCAGGTGGATTTCTGAGTTTGAGGCCAGCATGGTCTACAGAGTGAGTTCCAGGACAGCCAGGGCTACACAGAGAAACCCTGTCTTGAAAAAACAAAAAAACAAAAAACAAAAAAGCTTGTGCCACTATATTTGGCTTATTTGTGTGTGTTGTGTGTGTGTGTGTGTGTGTGTGTGTGTTTGTGTTTGTGTGTGCAGACTGCAGAAGCCAGTGTGGCATCAGATCCCAGAGGAACTGCAGTTCTAGGCAGCTATGAGCTGCTTCATGTGAGTGCTGGGAACTGTACTCACATCATCTGCAAGACTCTCTTAACCACAGAGCCATCATTCAAGCCCATGTAACAAAGTAACAAATTAAATGCAGTGCCTGCCCATTGGCTGTGGCTTTGTGGTCCTGACTGTCCTCTAGCACCTGTAAGCCACAGCTAGCAGACATTCTTGTGCTGTTTGGTTTCCGTGAAGCTGAACGATGTATTTCTCTGTACAGATATTCTTCTATGGGCAGTTTGCTTTTATTTTGTTTTAATGTGTCTGGAATGAGAATGATCAAGAATTATTTGAAACCCCCGGTTCAGCACTTTCATTCCTTGTTCAATTCTCTCTTTGATAGCAATGAATTTTACTACTTTTCCAGCACACCACGGGTCATTCCAAGTTCAAGCCTTTGCTTCTAATTTTATACTTCTCCTTAATAGAGATCTCTAACAAATAAATCTGCCTGCATTCATTTAAGAAACATTTTTAAGCTGCTACGTGTCTTTGTAGGTTTGTTTCCCTTTTATAATTCTATAAGTAGTCACTCTGGGTGGGCTTTTCCTCCCTGCAGGTTTCGTCCTTGACTAGGTCCGTGCACCATCATGGCGCTGTATTTTGACCACCGAATCAAAGCTCCAGATGCACCCAGCTCCCCCTCTCACATCACCTGGCACCCCACCCATCCATTCCTGGCAGTAGCATCTATAAGTCCGTCTTCTGGAGGCAACGTAGACATCTACCTTGAACAAGTGAGTCCCCGGAGCAACGTTGGCTTCAGCAGCTCCTAGCTCTTGTATTCTTTTCTCCTCCTGAGTCATGGAGGCCAGGAGGCAGCATAACTTAGCACTTGAGTTCTCCTAATCAGTTCTTCCTAAGGGCCAGTTATTCCCCAGCATTGAAGCCCTGATATCAGGAGTTCTTTTATCTCTGCCATAGAGGTTCAGAAGCATGCTTAGATCTGACTCTCTGCGCCCTGCATGCTGCCTTCAACTCTTCATATTGGCTCTTTGGATTTTTTCTAGATTTAATTTATGTTACGTGTATGATTCTTTTGCCTGCATGTGTATACATGCACCGGATGCATGTCATCAAGGTCAAAAGAAGGTATCGGATTCACTGGAACTAGAGTTGTAGATGGTTATGAGCTTCATATTGTTGCTGGAATTCAAAGTCAGATGTTTAGGAAGGTCAGTAAGTGCTCTGAAGTGCTAAGCCATCTCTCTAGCCCCATGTTGACCCTTTTAAACTATACTAGTTTCCTATGGCTGCTATAACAAATTACCACAAGCTAGATGATGTCCAAAAAGTAGAAAATCTTTTCTCACAGCTATAGAGGTCAGAATATCTGATGAAGATATTCATCAAGTGAATCATGAAGAGTTGGAGAAGGCGTGTACAGCACAGGGGTCAGATCTAAGCGTGCTCTTGAACCTCTGTGGCAGGATAAAAGAACTGCTCTATATGAGGGCCAGAAGATGTGGGTTTTGCTCGCCACCCAGCCTAGCTGAGGCAGTAAGCTCTAGATTTAAATGAGAGACTGTCTCAAAAATCAGGTGAGCCGATGAGATGGCTCACCAGTGAAAGTGCTTGCTGCCAAGCCCGGTGAGGTGACCTGAGTTCAGTCTGCAGCATCCACATGATGAAAGGGGAGAACCAGTTCTCTCAAGTTTTCCTCTGATCTCCATACCATTCTTGGCACACACATGTATACACACACATGCACACACACATGATAATCTTTTAACACATGTTTGTTTATTTTGTGTGAGTATGTGAACACACATGTGTACCAGGACCCTTGGAGACTAGAAGAGGGCATCAGGAGCTGGAGTTAGTGATTGTGAGCCATCTGACATGGGTGCTGGGAACTGAACTCAGGTCCTCAGGAAGAACAGCAAGAACTTATAAGTGCTGAGCCGAAGCTGTCTCTTCAGCTCCCAATAATTTTCTAATGAAAAATAATGAGGATGACTGTGGAAGATACCCATCGTTAGCCTCTAGTATCCACACGTGTCGTAATGATGTGAGTTTTATGCATTAGACAGTTTCTTGATGTACCTGTCACTTTCTACAACAGGAGGTTTTACTTCTTGTCCCACACAGGGTGAGCCTGTGCCTGACACCCACATTGAGAGGTCCTTCCAGGCCACTTCACTGTGCTGGCACCCAACAAGGCTTATCCTGGCTATTGGCTGGGAAACTGGAGAAGTGATAGTGTTTAATAAGCAGGACAAGGAGCAGCACACAGTGCCCCTGCCACACACCGCTGACATTGCCATCCTCAGCTGGAGCACCAGTGGGAGCTGCCTGGTGTCTGGAGATAAGGTGAGTACGCCATCTCCATCCTTGCTGTGCATTTAAGACGCATGTGTAAGATGCTAAGACCTGAGTGATACGAAATGTGTGGTTTCGAGGTTCAGCTGATCTCTTCAGGCATAACTGTGGATTTTTTTCCCTTTTCATTTCTTTTTTGTTTTGTTTGTTGTTTGTTTGTTTGTTTGTTTTTGTTTTGTTTTTCGAGACAGGGTTTCTCTGTGTAGCCCTGGCTGTTCTGGAACTAACTCTGTAGACCAGGCTGGCCTCGAACTCAGAAATCCACCTGCCTCTGCCTCCCAAGTGCTGGGATTAAAGGCGTGCGCCCCCTTTTCATTTCTTATTGATTGAGAATGTCTTACATGCATATAATGTATTCTGATCAAGTCTATCCCCCATTCCCTCCCCTCCAATTCCTTCTCTGTCCCCAATACTCCATTCCCTCCCAACTTTATGTGTTCTTTTTTTTTTCTTTTTTATATTTGAACCAAAACGTCAAATGTTTATTCTAAGATACCATCACGTGCCAAAGATATGTCTATAATTTTTAAATCAACATGTTAGGGGATTGCATTCATGGAGATGGAGTATCCCAGATACCAGCATGTTGGTAGCAGTCCAGAATCACCCACTTCCATGGACACCTGTTTAGTGGCCCAGAGTCTAGTTTGTCTAGATCAGGGCTCCTTACCTTGGGTGAATTTTGCCTTAGTGATGAGAGCCTTAGGAATCTTGTGTGCCCTATGGCAGAGGTTAGTGATGCTGCCCAGTGCTCTGCAATACACTGGACATTGTCTATGACAAAATGACCTTCCAGAGCTGAGAAACCTCACAATGTACACATTTAACTAAAGGTAATATATTGACATGTTTCCAAAGTTTATAAAAGTCACAGAGAGTGAAAAGACTCCACAGCTCATAGCCCACGTTCCATCTCTCCACTTTCTTCAGCCACAACCTTTTCAGGTCTTTAGAGCAGTTCAGATTCTCATTACCAGTAGCCCTGGCCACCCAGCGGGGATGCCCCTGACTTTAGCCGGTGATCTACTGCTGTGAAGAGACACCATGGCCAAGGCAACTCTTCTGAAATGAAACATTAACTGGGGGCTGGCTTCCAGACTTAGAGTTGTTACTGATCATGATGATGGGAGACAGGCAAGCATGTCTGTGGAACAGTAGGTGAGGTCTTCACATCCTGATCTGCAGGCAGCAGGCGGAGAGACACACTGAACCTGGTGTGGGCTTTTGAAACCTCAGAGTCCACCCCCAACAACCCATTTCCTTTAAGGAGGCCACACCTCCTAATCCTCCTAATCCTCTCATACAGTTTCATTTCCTGGTGACTAAGCATTTGAATGTGAGCCTATGGGAGCCATTCTCATTCAAGCCACCACACCCCTCACCCAAACTTCAGTCCTTCCGTAGCATAAGGGGAAAACATTACAATATGAAGCCTTTATCAGTGATACCCTGCAGCCTGACTAGTAAAAGGTGCTGGACCATCAGAACAAGGTGTATGAGGTACGTGTGTGCTTCAGATAACTAACTGAGAAAAGCCAGCGAGCAACTCCAGGAAACTACACAGTAGTTCCAGATATTTCACCCATTTATGTGGCCCTGACTATTTTTTTTTCCTTGACTCTTAGACAAAGCCCACAAGTTCATTGATTGTAGGAGTTTTCCCCACATGAAGCTTAGCAAGACCCTCATCGAGGACTCTATAAATATCAAAGCCTATGTCCATGTGGTGCCAGAGGGGCCTTAGAGAACTACATACAGTACCTACAGAAGTTTCCAGAACCACCTCACCTTGACTTTCTCTTCCCGTCCTCTGAAGTTGAAGAGCCTAGTGCCTAAACACACACACACAGATATTACAAGGAATACCTGTCCACCTTTCCCATAGATATCACCAGTTGTTGACACTAACATATCTACCTTTTCTATCCCTATGTGCACTTTTTTCCTGAATATTTGCAGATTCGTCACAGGTACCATGATACTTGGTACTTTATTCCTAAATACATAGGCATCCAGCACCTCAGATCTCAGACCTCACCTACATCACCACCAAGTATCAATCACATGCAATACTGTGACCACATGTGATGCAGTACTATGACCACATGTGATGCAGTACTATGACCACATATGATGCAGTACTATGACCACATATGCAATCCATTCAAAACTTCTCTTGTCTGGACCGGGAAAATAAAGCTCTTGCCATGGAAACGTGAGGGTCAGAATTTGGATCAGCAGTTGCTGGGTGTTAGAGGCACACACATTTAATCCCAGCACTTGGGAGAGAGAGGCCAGCCTTGCCTACAGGACTGGCTCCAGAAAAGCCAGGGCTACACAGAAAAACTCTGTCTTGGAAAATGAAAAAAAAAAAAAAGCTCCTAAGAACCATGTAAAGAGCCAGGTTGAGTCCTCAATGAGGGTGTTGTTAAGCTTTATGTGGGGAAAACTCTTAAAATCAGTGAACTTGTGAGCTTTGTTTAAATGTCCAGGAAAAAAAATTTGTCTCAGGGCCACATAAGTGTGTGAACACTTGTGACCATCGCCTCGGTGTGGTGGCTGCCACACCTGCTGTAACCCAGCACTCAAGCGGAACAAGCACTGCATAGAGTAGCCAGAATCAGCAAGCGCTGGGCTTCGTGAGAGATCCTCTCTCATTAAATCAAACGAAGAGCAACAGAGGAAGATATCCAGCATCAACTTTAGGCCTCTACACATAAGTAAACATATGCTCACACATGTACCCAAATACATGTGAGCATGCATATAAACACGTGCACACAACACACACCGAAAAAAAGTTTTGCTTCTTGTAGTAATGTCCATTGTATCTGTCTTTTCCTAATGTAGGGGTTAGCCAAAAGCCATACATTGCATTTAATTGTTATTTTAGCCAGTCTCAGATCTTAAATGCTCCACCCACTCTTTTGTCTTACATATTATGATTGAAATTTTGTGTCCAGACAAGTTGCTTTGCAGAGTGTCCCTTGGCTCTAATGCTTGACCATTGGTTGCCTCATGATTACTTTCAAATTAACCCTTAGGAGCAAGACTTTCTTGCTGGAAGCTTTACTCTGTTTTTCATAACAATAACAATCAACATGAACAATTTATAAAGAGGAAATATTTAACTTGTAGTTTCTGAGATTCTAATCCATGGCTGGTTGTCCATGTGGGCATGTGGTAGCATAGTACATCATGGCAAGTGTGTACCAGGGAAACATCTGTTCACATCATGACTTCTGGGGGAAAACAGCTATTCACATTATGACTTCAGAGAAGCAAAGAGAGAAACAGCCAACATCACATAGCCTTTCAAGGTCACACCTTCCATTAACTTAACTCTAACTAGCAGACCACAGCTCCTAAAGGTTCTGGGACTTAGTATTTAGCATATGGCCTTTGGAGAATATAACAAGGGTATAGTCCTTATTTGCTTAATTTTTGAATGTAGCATGCGATGCATTTTCATTTTTTCACTTTACAATATATCTTGGAGACTTTTCTATATTGGTAAGTAGGGATCTCCCATGTCCTCTTGTGTTTGGCTCTTCGTTATATAAAAATAACATAACTTATTTAGCTATCTGATAAACATTTCAGTGGCTTCTAGTCTTTTGACAAACAGACAAAAGTTACAGAAGTGCTACAGGGAAACCAGGAGGAGCCAGGGCTTACACCATTGTAAGGCTGATTTTGTCTTATTGTGGTGCTAGAGATGCCCTAGCATACCCAGGGCCTCCTGTATGCTAGGCAAGAGTTCTAGCACAAACCACTATCCCTTGCCCTAACTTTGTATTTGCCAAAACATTCTATGGGTTTAAACTAGTTCACAGCATGTGTGGTTTCCAACAAAAGGAATGCCTAGGGGTGAAAATTTTGCTTAGAAAAGTAGTGCCCCTTGGGGTCTGATGATGTAATTCAGTTATAGAGCACTTGCCTAGCATATGTGAAGCCCTGGGTTTGATGGCCCAGCAAGTCATGGCCAGCCTTTCTTTTCCTTTATTATTTTTCTCCTTCTCTCCTTTCTTTTCCTAGTATTGGGCATTGAACTCAGGGACTTGCCCACCAAGCTACACCTCCAGCCCAAGACATTACTAGTTTTTCTGTTTTTTGTTTTTGTTTTGAGACAGTCTCATGCGCCCCAGGAAGCAAAACATTTATCTTTCAAAAGGCAGTTAGTTCTTTCCTTTCATCCTGTGGGCCCTAGGTATCAAATCCAGGTCGTTAGGCCTAGCTGCAAGTGCCCTGACCCGCCCACCCTTTGTTGTCTTCCGACTTCCATACATACAGTGTGGCTCATTCAACCCCCTCCCCAGTGAATGAATGAATGAATGAATGAATGAATGAATGAATAGATGTGACAACTAAAAGTTTTGAAAGATAAACGTGGAGCTAGCTGTTGATGGTCATGTGAAGTCTGTTCCTCTTTCTCTAGAGGATGAGCATCCTTTCTACAGAGTGTTTGTGTTTCTTTTTCCTTCACGTCATTTATCCATTTTTCTTTCCCTTTCTCTCTCCCCTCCCTCCCTTTTTTTTTTAATTCTCTCATATAATACATCCAAACCTAGTTTCTCCTCCCTCCACTCCTTCTAGTTCTCCCTCTCTACCTCCCTTTTCCCCCAGATCTTGTCCTCCATTTCCCTTTAGAAAAGAGCAGACCTCCCAGGGATGTCAACCAAACACTCAGAGACAGCCCTGCTACTCCTACTGTTAAGAGTTTCACAAGGACAGCAAGCTATATAACCATAATAACATATACTCCTCTCTCTCTCTCTCTCTCTCCCTCTCTTTCTCTCTCTCTCTCTGAGATACCATGACCACAGCAATTCTTTATAAAGGACAACATTTCATTGGGGCTGGCTTACAGTTTCAGAGGTTCAGTCCATTATCCTCTTGGTGGGGAGCATGACAGCATGCAGACAGACATGGTCCTGGAGCAGGAGTTGAGAGTTCTACGTCTTGATCCACAGGTAGCAGTTGGAGACTGT